AGGTCGTCGGTTCGAATCCAGCCATTTCCAGATTTATTCTTTTTCGGAAGATTAGATACTTCGACTGCTTAAGGTACGAGATCAAGCCATAATTGGGCATTTGGGCAACGTTGGATTAAGGAACGGGTCAGAAACTTGAAGTGTAGCGGGAGAAATAGGAACGAGAGCTACAAGATTACCCACGAATGGAATATTGATAGAACGGACCTGAAAAGTATCACGTAACGCCTACAGAAGATCGAAACGAGAGCCTTAGTTTATTTGAAACCTAGATATGAAGATTAGAAGTTTGATCCTACATAATACTAATTCATATGTGTACAAATACAAAAGTGTAAAATGTGAATTATTTCCGGACAGTATGTCGTCAATAAATGCAATAAAGTGCAATTAAAATGAAAAAAAAAAATGAAATGATATCCTCAGCGTGAAATCTAGCAAAGTCTTATTTATATTATTTATGCATGGATCATAGTTTGAACCTTAAGCATACACTAAGATGTCTTTAATAGTAATTTGATCTTAAACTTAAGTAATTTATAATAAAACTTACTTACTGTAATGATCCTTTGACACTCTTTTTCACACTACAAAGCCGTTTTAGGTTTTCCATTTCCCTTGTTGACGATGCATCGCGATAGTAAACCTACAAGGACAGCTAATTATTCACTCAAGATATAATTGAAACAACACCCATTGCAACCACTGCAAAAAACTTAACTCCATCTGTCAGGGGCGTAGCCAGGGGGGGCCATAGGGGGCCCGGGGGCCCGAAAAAAGAGGAAGTGATGAAAGAAATGTCAAAAGCAGCACGAAAAATTAAATTTAATGTATGAATAATGAATTAAATACTTAAACTTATGAACAATGAATATAGATTTAAGGATCCAAAATAACGGTTTTTTTAATTTTCGCAAATGGGCCCCCCCCCCCCTTAAAAATTTTCTGGCTACGCCCCTGCCATCTGTCATGTGAATCTACAAGCAACCTAATATTCTAAACTTCATTTCCACATCAGAGCACATTAATGAGTGTGCATTAAAAAGGAAATTTATGCACGTGTCAAGAACAATTTGCGTGTTGACCAATGCATATAATTAGCATGAAAATTAATAAAACTTTTTTTATCGTAAATGCAAATGTCTTGCAGTACAGATTATAAATTAGTTGCGGAATTTTTTGCGATAGCTCAATTACACGACTTCCTTTGTTTAAAATTGTAATCAATTTAAAGTAAAACTTTTTGTTTGAACCAAAAACGTTGAAGCTTTAAAAATCTCAATGGATTTCACACTAATATTTTCGTCAGAAAAAAGAAGCAAAGCTTCTACGAAAATTGAGACTTTTCAAGGCTTTTTTAAATCTGTGGATTACTTTCTTCTTCGTTCATCGTTTTATTTTATTGAAAACTATAGAATACCAAATATATGGCAAGAAACGAATTTAGTGAAAGCATTTCTCAATTATAGGAATTTAAAAGGATTAGATACTTTTAGTAATTTTAGGCAGGATGCTTGATATTGTTGTTTGTTAAGAAAATTGATTTTAAGATTAATAAAGTTATAAAATCAAATTTTTTTTGGCATTTCAGAATTTAACTTATTTTTAAGTGCTTTTAAATTTTGAAATTTAAAGGTTCTTTAAAATTTAAAAAGTTCAAATTTATTTGAGTTATTTAACGTTAAATCTTCAGTTTTTCGAAAGATTCTCTATATTTTACCTGTACCAAACTATATCCTATTCAGCTACTATTTCAATTTTCTCCGAACACAATTTATCAACTCATGCAAGCACAAATTCATTTGCCATCTATAAGTTCCTTAGATATTTTATAAGGTAAACTATAAAGTATATTACGAAAAGTATTAAAAGAATCCTTGCCCAAAATTCTATCATTCACACATGCCAGATAGGTAGATAGATATATACAAACATGAATATACAAGTCGACCAACAAAGGTGTTTAAGCTTCACCAATAAGTCTATACAATGTAGAAAGTAATCATCTTGTTTACTTTTTAATAGAAAAAATAGAAAAAATAGAAGTCTTGGCAAGAATGCTGATCTCCTAGCATGACAAAAGTATTCATAGAGTCTTCAAAGTTCTGAATCATTTTCTTCTTTGTATCCAAGTCTTCTTATTATTTATGTCTTATATCAACTTTTTTGCCTATTCTGACTTTCACAGCAGAGAGTGGAAAAGTAAGTGGAGAGGCGGAAAGTTGAAATGGATGGATATTGATAAATAGATTTAGCCAAGTCATGGTGCCAATAAAATAGAAAAAAAAAATCAAAGTCTTCTTTCAAATCTTTTTCCTTTTTCCTTCTTTTTGATTATTTTTTTTTGTCCTCCTTCTCTTTTTTACTCACCAATAAACAGCCCCATTCATCTCGTTTTCCACACATATCGATGATAGTATATAGATATTCATAGCGAGTAAGCAAATATTGATATGAGAATGCGTATGATGCATATAGTAAAAAACTTTTTCAAACAACAATGAATATAGACAACAAAAACCATATTTTCAGACATAAAGCGATGAAGAAGGAATAAGAATTAATGTAATAGGCAAATAATAGACAGAATGAATAAGAAATTTTGTGAAAATAAGAAAGAATTTTGACGGAAACTCTTTTTGGGCGAGCACGTGGTTTTGTGGATAATTTGTTTTGCCTTTTTGTTGGAGTTGTAATACGATATTGGGTTAAGGATGTTTGTGGAAAGCCCTTGCCACTTATTTGAGTAGAAATTAATCAAAATATTCATGAACTGATGACAATCTACGAAATAATTCAAGAAAAACTTTTTGAAGTGAAGGAAAAATACTTTTTAAAATGGCGGATTTTTTTTTTAATTTTCAAAAATCTATTAAGTTTGTAAATCAACCAATTAAAAATGCGCATTATCATAAATTCTGATTAACCTCTAATTTACTTTTTCTATTCTAAATAGAATTCATAGACTCCATTCTTGTTATTTCTCGAACTTTATGCTCTTATCATCATGTTCACTCCTTCGTTCCGCTCATTGAACAGCAGTGCACATATATAATTGTAATTTATGGAATGTTAGAGAGAAGATTATCAGAGATGTATATGCATATTTATGTATGGCAATATAATAGGGTCAAATTGGTTGATGTTTATCGATTCAATATAAAAAATAAAGAACAAGATGAGAAAATGGTATACAGAAGAATTCTGACATACTTTCGCAAATTATCTTGTTCTTGACGAAAAGGGAATTCAAAGATTTATCGAGTTTGCTTTGTTTAGATTCCATTCTATTGTATTTGTGAGAACGATGAATATTTGTGAAACTATGAGACCCGAGAGGCACAAGTAAGACACAATGTAAGTGTTGCTGTATTTCCTTGAGATTTTAGTCCTTTTCTTAATTGTGAAATGGCATTAGGAGTTGGTTTTTCGGTATACCTTAGGGTTCATCATTAAGGTTTGAATAAAGGTAACCCTACACGACCTGAAGAAGAGTCCATACTAGCATACACTAGTCTACAAGAAATTTCGTCTGAGTTACTATGACACTTAGCTTTGCCTGACTTTTCGGCAATATATTTTTGACCTTTAGCAATATGATCACTATACAGCTCGGGATATGGTAGGAACAGAAAAGTAGGAGGATAAAAGTATATGCGAAATAGAGATGCAGAGAAAAGGGGCCTGAATATGGGATGAATTATGACTTGTATTGTGTATATGATTCATATTTATACGTGTAATAGAAAAATAATAGAATGGATTCGAGTGAGAGATTAAAACAAATTTTTCGGTTGTATAATGTGACTTATTATCAAGGAACAAACAAATCCACACCAATCCATGTTTTCAATTATTTAAGGACAAATGGAACAAGGTTCTATTAGCAAATAAATTTTATTTCGTAAATAGATATTTTGATTTATTCTCCTGTACATACATCATCTATTATCCCTTAAACTTTATGCGTGAAGGCATCCACAAAACCTTTTCAGTCATCAATGTTCTTCTTTCCTCTGCGAGCTAATGCGCATTTTTTCTCGTTGTACTATTATTGAATTACTTAATGCTGCTCCGGTGTAATATTTTGTTCGTGTCGAGGTTAAATAATTTGACGATTGTGTTCTTTTAATCCATTTATACACAAATTTTGTGGTGCTTTTTCATGTTTTGTTACCGTTACATTCTAAATGAGATTCTCGTCCAAAGCTAAGCTCGTAAATGTGTTACTTCATATTTCTTCAAATTGACATGCGGTCAACCTCCCATGGAAATTCTTCAAGTTCCTTTACTGTTTACTGCTTTGTTAGCATTAGGAAGTGAGGAGTGAATTATGTGGTTTTTTGGTGTCTGACTGAATGGGATTAAGTTGTTTGTATGAATTTTTCTTGGGATGGATATTGTAAGTAATATTTAAATGTTATTTTTTCAACTCTTGCCTTATTTTTTATTAAAACCAAGTCTCTTCCACAAATAAAAACAAAGAAAACAAAGCTCAAGTGCAATTAAAAATCAGCAAATATTTAACATCATTTAAGTAATTATTGTCACTTCTGCCTCAACTCTCAAGTATGCGCTCTTCATAATAAGAACATTTTAAAGTGGCACACTTCACTTTGCTGTTATTAATATCTTTAAAAGCTACTTACATTCACATTTCATGCTCATGTTCATTAATCAATGATTTTCCTTTCCCCTTTTTTTCTCGGTCTCTTCTTTTTGTAATGACTACAAAAAAAAAACATCAAATGCTACCAACAACGTGGGTCTTGCAACGCACAACAAAAAACACAACATTTTTTCTGGGGTATTTAAAAACATCATTATCAACATCAAAAAACGATAATAATGAAAAGCAGCAGCAGCAATCACACTCTAATGTTAATTAACCATTAGGGAACCACGAAAGTATAAAATGTTCCAAGGAGGCCCAACAAATCGCTCTTATTGTGGTGGCCATCCTTGGAAAAAGAATTTCAATTAATAACTAGTTTCGCGTAATGCACGCTAATGTATCCGGAGGAGACCGTTCAGGCGGGAAATCATGGTAAGTAATTAGCATGCAATTTTCAAATTAAAATTCATTAACATGCACATTATCACAATTAGACTCTTGTTGCTGCCCAGTCTACATTCTCTTAAATTATTGTTAACAATTCTTAATTACTTTAAATTATAGGCAAATCCCTCCGGACGAAACACTTCAAATTGGCGCAGATAAGAAAGACAAAGACCAGGATCTTTATGGATCTGATGGTCATAATTGGCGTAGTATCATCTTTTCCTTATTGGTTATTGGTTTCGTCATAGCTGGCATTGTAACAGCAATTTATTTATTAGGGTAAGGATCATACTTATCATTGTGGTCTCTTGCGATAATTTTGGGAGTTATAACTTGACAATTTTCGAATGCTATTTTTTCACAAGCAAGAAATTGCCATTATCATTCCCAAAATAATCGCAAGGACAAAATAATAAAATGAAACAATGGATTAATTTTCTCATTTTCATGGTGCGTGCTCAGATATGTAGATGAGTTACTTTACTGGTCCGGTAAGCGGATGAAATTTGATGAGTATTTGCAAAACGAAATATCACCGAAACGTTTACCATCAACGTGGGTTACGAATACGAAATTTGTATATCAATCGGACGATGGAAGTCTTGCAATACTTGACACTGCCAATGATTCGGTAGCCACATTGGTAACGAATCATACTTTGGTAAGTTTCTTCTTAATTTTTATCCTATTTCATTTTAGCTTTATAGAAATGAGAATCTTAAAATTGTATATTCTGACTGACTTGAAAGTTACCTTAGGGATGAGTTTTAATCTTGAATGAAAATAAATTTGCTTCCAAATGAAATGACATTCATTGGATGTAACAATTCTCATTTCATTTTCCATCTCACTTTCCACTTTTCTAATTTGTTTGAGACTTAAGGAAGAGAAAAAAAACTTTCATTTCACTTCTGCTTCCTTGTCCTCAAAATCATACATATTAAAGATTGACTTTTATGTCAAATTGCCTTTTTTTTGAGCTCTCATGGATGGAGAGTAGCTGTTGGATGTTGGAACTATAGAAATGGAATTAAAATTCAAATTTATTTAAATTAAATTTTAATCTAGGACTGATGGATGACGGAAGATTCATTTAATTCAATTCTAAAGTTGAAGTGTGTTTCCGTAACAATTTTAATGGATGAATCGATCAACTTTAGAAATTGAATAGAGGAAGTTTAAATGAAGGAATTGGGATGGTTTTGTGTGGCTTTGGTGTGATTACTTTTAAATAAATTGTAGAAGTGATTGGAGGGAGCTGAGGAAAGTAACTGTAAATAACTGTAAATTGTTTTATTTTTCAATTTAATTATTTTTAACGGGTTTTAAAAATTTAAATTTTCAAAGATTTTTTTGGAAATCTATTTTCTTCAAGTTAACCAACAAACTGCGGATTTCCAGTCCAATCGATAAGTCAATCACTTGATAGTACCGAGCTAGTTCTTAAATTTTTAACTCTCTACTATGCCAAGTAGCGTCGAATGTATTTCTACTTTTTAAATGTCTTTTTCTAATCACCTTAAAGTCCTTAAATCCTGTATATCCAACAAAACAACCCAAACATCTCACTTTTAAATCCACAAATAAACTTCCTTCTTCAGCTTTTAACATTCAATCCCAAAAGAAAATCAATTTTCTTCATATCCCCAAAATACATAAAGGTCATTTATCTTAAGCTCCTTATATCTCCAATCATCTACCTGAATTAATTATCATTATTAAACCAGTCAACTTTGATTTGGTCACAAAATCACAAAACGGCAGCAATCCTCTGTCGCTTTTTATCTTCATCATTATGTTAATTTTCTTTTTTGATATAGGACAACAGACTTAGTATTGTCCTTTATTCAGATGTTATCTATCCAATCTATCTACGATATCTACTTTCATGCAAATAAAAGAAAGTTAATTTTGATTTTTTTTTTCACAGAGGCAACTAAATGTCCAAGGTTATCAGTGCACCAGCGATCTGCGATATGTACTATTTACTCACGATGTAAAATTTGTAAGTATCTGACTCATATAAGTAGTCGTAGATAGTATTTATTTTAAGTATAGTGTGTGGAATATGTTAATGTAAAGAAATGAGGATAGTAATGAAAAAGTTGGGAATGGGGATGGATGTTATCGAAACTACATGGAGACTAGTGTATCGGGTAGAAACCCAATGCGGATATATTCACACCGTACCATCAAAAGTCTTATGGATAGACCAAGATTTGCTCAGCATAAATTTGAAGGGTGGGCGTGAAGTAGGGCCGAGACCCATATCGACACAGTTCAAAAGTTATACCTAATTTATGTTATAATTATGTCAGCTACAAAAACACTTAGTTTGAAGTTTGTCACCCTCGGGAACACTATGAACCAGTATAGCTGATTTTGGTCCAAACATCGGCAATATTTTACACTTATTTGAACCACATTTTCTCGTAAATGTTAAAATATTATTAAAAAGGAATTAATCCTGAATTATGTCGCTATTTTGTGAAGTGTTTTAAGATAAAGAATTTGTTTTTTGGTTTCCACAGTGAAGAGTATGAACAAAATTCAGATGGGGTAGTCGAAATTTTAGATTTCGATTTTTTTTTTAACTATGCATTACAAAAAGTAATATTGGTATGTGATTTATGTCGGAATTATGTCAATTCAAATAAAACATCCAAAAATTTTTTTGACCAAAGTACACCATAGAAAATCAATTTTCAATTTTGGACTAGGGGCGACCCTAGTCAAAATCAATTTTCTCACTTTTTTCTTCGAAAGTTTATCCAAATGGATTGAAACTTTGCATAAATATTTTAATGCTTATAACAATTACAAATAAAACATCTTAAAATTTTTTTGAGCAAAGAACCAAGTAGGAAATACATTTTCAATTATGAACTTGGGACAGGTCTAGTCAAAATCTAGTTTTTCACTTTTTTTCTTCGAAGGTTTATCCAATTACAGTGAAACTTTGAGTGAGTGTACTAATATTTATACAAAACAGTTTTAAATATCTAAAGGAAGAAATGTATTCTATGTGTCGTCAGACCCAAATTTTATAAATTTGGTTGTACATTCAAAAACAACGTGACTTAAAATTTTGTCCAAAAAAATTTTAGGATGTTTTATTTGTATTTGTTTTAAGCACTAGAATGTTTATGCAAAGTTTCAATTCATTTGTATAAACCCTCGAAGAAAAAAGTGACAAAATTGATTTTGACTAGGGTCGCCCCTAGTCCAAAATTGAAAATATATTTCCTACTTGGTTCTTTGCTCAAAAAAATTTTAGGATGCTTTATTTGTATTTATTTTCAGCTTTAAAATATTTATGCAAAGTTTCAATCCATTTGGATAAACCCTCCAAGAAAAAAGTGACAAAATTGATTTTGACTAGGGTCGCCTCTAGTCCAAAATTGAAAATGTATTTCCTACTTGGTTCTTTGCTCAAAAAAATTTTGGGATGTTTTATTTGTATTTGTTTTACGCACTAGAATATTTATGCAAAGTTTCAATCCATTTGTAAAAACCCTCGAAGAAAAAAGTGACAAAATTGATTTTGACTAGGGTCGCCCCTAGTCCAAAATTGAAAATATATTTCCTACTTGGTTCTTTGCTAAAAAAAATTTTAGGATGCTTTATTTGTATTTATTTTCAGCTTTAAAATATTTATGCAAAGTTTCAATCCATTTGGATAAACCCTCCAAGAAAAAAGTGACAAAATTGATTTTGACTAGGGTCGCCTCTAGTCCAAAATTGAAAATGTATTTCCTACTTGGTTCTTTGCTCAAAAAAATTTTGGGATGTTTTATTTGTATTTGTTTTAAGCATTAAAATATTTATGCAAAGTTTCAATCCATTTGGATAAACCCTCCAAGAAAAAAGTGACAAAATTGATTTTGACTAGGGTCGCCTCTAGTCCAAAATTGAAAATGTATTTCCTACTTGGTTCTTTGCTCAAAAAAAATTTAGGATGTTTTATTTGTATTTATTTTCAGCATTAAAATATTTATGCAAAGTTTCAATCCATTTGGATAAACCCTCCAAGAAAAAAGTGACAAAATTGATTTTGACTAGGGCCGCCCCTAGTCCAAAATTGAAAATGTATTTCCTACTTGGTTCTTTGCTCAAAAGAATTTTAAGATGTTTTATTTGTACTTGTTTTAAGCACTAGAATGCTTATACAAAGTTTCAATTCATTTGTATAAACCCTCGAAGAAAAAAGTGACAAAATTGATTTTGACTAGGGTCGCCCCTAGTCCAAAATTGAAAATGTATTTCCTACTTGGTTCTTTGCTCAAAAAAATTTTGGGATGTTTTATTTGTATTTGTTTTACGCACTAGAATATTTATGCAAAGTTTCAATTCATTTGTATAAACCCTCGAAGAAAAAAGTGACAAAATTGATTTTGACTAGGGTCGCCCCTAGTCCAAAATTGAAAATGTATTTCCTACTTGGTTCTTTGCTCAAAAAAATTTTAGGATGTTTTATTTGTATTTATTTTCAGCATTAAAATATTTATGCAAAGTTTCAATCCATTTGGATAAACCCTCCAAGAAAAAAGTGACAAAATTGATTTTGACTAGGGTTGCCCCTAGTCCAAAATTGAAAATGTATTTCCTACTTGGTTCTTTACTCAAAAAAATTTAGGATATTTTATTTCTGTTTGTTTTAAGCATTAAAATATTTATGCAAAGTTTCAATCCATTTGGATAAACCCTCCAAGAAAAAAGTGACAAAATTGATTTTGACTAGGGTCGCCTCTAGTCCAAAATTGAAAATGTATTTCCTACTTGGTTCTTTGCTCAAAAAAATTTTAGGATGTTTTATTTGTATTTGTTTTAAGCATTAAAATATTTATGCAAAGTTTCAATCCATTTGGATAAACCCTCCAAGAAAAAAGTGACAAAATTGATTTTGACTAGGGTCGCCCCTAGTCCAAAATTGAAAATGTATTTCCTACTTGATTCTTTGCTCAAAAAAATTTTTTCATCGAAAGTTTAATTTAAAAAAAAATCACAGTGAACTTTTAATTTGAAAAATTCGTAAGAAATGAAAGTATTTTGCTTTTTCTGAAGCAACGGCTGTTCCTACCTTTCCCAAAAACAATACAGCTCTTCTATAGAGCAGCACGGATCAAATGTAAAAAACTAGAAGTCTCTACGATGTCTCGTTATTGAGATTTTCTGCCGATTAACTTGCTTGCTTTCAGAAAGCGTATTTTTCGATTTTCTCAGCAACGCCGCAACCAATTTGAAATCTGTTTTTTGCATAAGATGTAAAATTTCAGGTACAAGCTTTTCTTTTTTATACATTTATAGCTAAAATGCTTCGTTAACTCACAAAATCCAAAAAACTGATTTTTCAATCTGAACAAAAACAAAACATTCACACGTGAAAACGGTGTGAATATAAAAAAAAGAAATTCTGGCAGATTGTCAATGATCATCAAAGTTTCTTGGTACTGGTTCAGAGATTCTGAGTTTCTTTGTTGAGCTTTTTAGTGCTTTATAATTTTCTGGTATCACACAAGAGAACTATTTATAGCGTTATTGTAAGGTTTATATTTATAAGAATGGAATAAAAGAAGAGAACTTACAAAAGTCAAGGTGGATTTTCATACTAAACCAATCCATTATTTTTGTAAAAGCTATATCTCTCTTCCTACTTTCCTTCTCACAAACATTCAACCGCACACTACATTAACCTTACCCACTCACTGCCAAACTTCCTCTCTTACCACTTCAAATATTACCTCACATTCGTTCTCTTTTATTTTATTTTTCACTTCTACACAATTTGCATGCATTAACATTTCATTTTCATCAACACTGTAAAGTGGAAGAAAATTTATGCTTTTAGCGAGTGGATTATAGTTTTGTGGATATTACTTTATAACGTTTTTACGCATTTTCAAAGAGAAATGACTTTACTGTCCGTCTGTCTTCATTAAAATTGGGGGTCCATGATACAGACTTAAAAAAACCTTTACCTATTCAGATCAATTGTGATCCAGAAGTGCACTAGGGCGTTTCACAGCTAAGGAGAGTGTAACGAGTGATGATGCGCTAAACCACTGCACTCAAACCTAGTCCTTTAATTTATAGTGGGATCCGAACCACTCTTTTACTGACATTTCTGCCTGTAGCCTACAAAGAAAGGCTGTGAGCCTCATTTTCCGTACATATGATTCGAAAAAGGACAAGTGAAAATTTCTCATACCCAGTCTCGAACCCATGATCGCTGTGTCGGTATTGCAATAATTAGGTACCGAAGTACTAAACCATTCCACCACCGAGCCACTTCAGCTCATTAAGTTTATAAGTTTATAAGTTTACCAAAGGCATTTTTACTGACTTATATCAAGTATTGAGAGCGCTAAGTCTGTGTTACAAAATGCACTATCGTCTGTCACGATCTATACTAGTTTTTTGTTCTTATTCGAACAAAATATTGACATCACAAAGCAGCAATTTAAATCTGTTCGTAAGAAGAAAAGAAGCTCAAAGGTAAAATTGTAGTAATTGAATGGAAATAAGGAAGAAGTGAAAGAAAAATCACTGTTGGGAATTTCATTAATCAATTCATCTGATGTTGATCAACATTCAAGTGTAAAGGAACTGTAATTATCGATGATGATGATGATGGTATGTATGTGCACGATGATGGAAGCAGATTTTCAAGGATATTGATAACATGGGAGCATTTTGACTAATATCCTTATGGAAAAATTCATTGATTTGGATTATTTCATGCACTTACGTTTCAAATGGATAATTTCTACTTCAAAATTGGATTCTCATTCCGCTTTTATAGCTTTTGATGCATGAATGAGCAATTGGTGATTACAGACTTGCTTTTTGAGTTGCATTTCTTATGTTTTATGGGGATGTGGGGATGCTGGTTGCTACATCTACATCGTTTGTTGGAACTTGTTAAATTTAAACTTTATCTTCGAATAGTTTTTTCAAAACTTATTTTAAGTGGACAGTCGGGTGTATTTAGATTTTAAATCCTTGACTAACAATTATCAGTGCTGAAAAAGCTTCTATTCGTCAAACATCACATTACCTACAAATGTCTGATCCACAAAAAGAGCTTTTTCATCGTAAATGAAAGAAACCAAGTAAAGAAGAAGCCTCAAAAAGGAAGTCAAATGAAACGAAATGAAACATTATTCAATGTAGCGATTGGACAAATTTGATAAACCTCCTGACATAATTGATGGACCATGTTTCGAATATTTCTTCTATTGTTGTACATCCAACAACAAAACATAACATTTTGTGGGTGGAAGAGATGAAAATATTGTTCGGGTTCATTCATTATACAGACACTAAGGCAGAGCACATTCATATTATACAGTGTTGCATAATATACCGAACATTGACAAAATGATGAGCATGTTCTCTAAATAAACAGGCCAATTAAAATGTCATTAAATGATTGTCGGTGGGTGAAATGAATTGAAATAAATTGGATGACAAAAAAAGGAAGGCGAACAGAAGTAAAAGCAGTGATGAGAATGAAAAAAAGTAGTTTTTGAGAAGGAAAGTTTGCATGTTGTCACTTTCTTCTTCTTCCTTTTTTGCATTGCCATTAATTTTGTTGTTGGTATTATTTATGTTGTGGTTCGGCTACAAGACTTTGGGCCGGGGGGAGGATGCTAACATCTTAATAAATAGTGACCGACAATTTTAACTGCATTAATTGACATAATTGCTTTTAAAGGACTAATTAATTTACAAAATCTTTTATTCTACTTTCAGATCTATAAGAACTCTTATACAGCGTTATTTACCGTCTACGATGTAACAAATGAGTAAGTTTGTCTTTTAATCCAATTTAATTTAATTTCCTTAATGCGAAAATTGCGCTATTAAATAGCTCAGTGATTCTTTTATAAAGTGGAACAATGTCTTTTTCCATTATGGATATTATCAAATAATAACGAAATTTATTTTTAATGGCTTAATAATCTCGGGAAATGCTGCACTTTAGTTTATTATCTTTAACCATTCATCTGCTTGTGCTGTTGAAAGGCACTCCGAGAAATTTTTTTGTGACATGAATTATTTTGATAGAAAACTTTGAATTTCATAAAAGATCAGAACTTTAAAATTTTTTTAAAGGATGCCAAAAAGCTTACAATGATGTAAAAAACTTATTTTGCAGACAAAAAGCTCACAGTCTTTTCTAAAAGCTCATCATCAATTGTCAAAGAGCTTACGATCAATTGTCAATAAGTTCACCATGGAACATCCAAAAGCTCATAATGAATTGTCAAAAAGCTCACAACAAATTTCCCAAAAGCTCATAAAGAATTGTCAAAAAGTTCACGATGAATTGTCAAAAAGTTCACAATGAATTGTCAAAAAGCTCACGATGAATTGTCAAAAAAGCTCACAATAAATTGCCCAAAAGTTCATAATCAATTGTCAAAAAGCTCACGACGAATTGTCAAAAAGCTCATAGTATTGCCACAAAATCAGCAATGTTTTCAAAAGGCTGAAAATGTTATTTTTTCAATAGTTTAACATTTTATCCAACACGTTTGAAAACGCTCAATTTTCAGGAAGGTTACAAGTTTTATTTGTGGTTCCTAAATGACTCTTCTTGAAGGTTGACTATCATTTATGAACGATTCCTTATAAAACTTAAATGATAGCTTGTCCTTAAAACGTTCAATTTGATTAGTTTTAGTTCCTTTTTAGACCATAGTATGTTCAGCAATTCCCAATTCTCAAAAAACTTGCAATATACCTCACCATGGATACACTTTTTCCACCCCATTAATCTCCAATAAAAAATATGTCATCTCTCACGCGACAACAGCTTTAAATTTTCCACTAAAACACAAAAAAACATGCTCAGAAAGTCATTACAATCATATCTGTTTTCACATCCTTTCCACATGAATACAAAATTAATCCAAACCAGTACATGCAGCACAACACCAAACGAGTAAATTTTGTACCATCAGTGTACACAGCACTCAATTCACATTCATTTTCATGAAAATTCTCAATTTCGGAACTTTTTTGTGCTCATCCTCATATCTCGAAATCGATAGTCAATGGAGCGATCGAGAAATTTGTTGTTGAACACATTTGCTGCATTTAGCCATTGAGGCAGCTTGCAAGTCAGCAACATGAAATACTGAAATTGAAAACAGTTATCTTCCCCATCTTTCCCATTTTTCTCACTCTTCATACCTATTGCATATTTTTTTGCTGTTGCTCTTCCTTTTATATGCAATAATGCCATACATGATAAATATAAATTGTATGAATGCATTGAATGTGCTAAACGAAGCAGGAACTTGAGAAAGAATTTTTTTTGGCTTTAATTAATGTTTTTATTATATTCATGCTCATTCAGATGCAATGCATAAGAACAAATTTCCTGCACACCAATCAACTACTTCTCTTTTCGATTGTTATCGATAAAATTCTCTTTTTATTATCTTTAAAAATATTTTAGTCATGCCAACAATGATAAAGTAGTGAGGAAAATTGGTAGGATGGCTATTTTGTGGGGTTTTTGGGTTTATTGCGCTTTTTTTGGATTCTAAGATAAAGTTGAACAAAATATATCAAGTATAAAATTAAAATTTTGGGGCTAGTTTCTGATGCTACTGGTGCTTTCTGGTGCTCTTGCTCACACGAATTGTAACTAGGTAAATTGCTGGATACATCAGGTATTTAGACGTACTCGTGACTTTGCAATGTGCTAAAGGGTTCGGTCCAGTAGATTCTGTTCTAATTTGAATCGCAGTCCCTTCAGCTCAAAAAGCTGGGCTCCATACTTTACCTTTTGTCTGTTGCTACCCGAAGTATGTACCTGCTCTAGTCACAGAACATTCCAAAGTATATTATAATAAATTCAGTTCGAATCAAACTTTTTTTGAAATTTAATTATTTTTCTAAGGATTTATCCATCAATTCTCAAAGATGCGCTCCTAATAATCGTCGCTATCCTCAAAAAATTAAAAAGGTTATAACTTAAATCAAAAAACATTCCATTAACCTCAAAATTCCTAAAACAGATCTAATATTTTAACATTATCACCCTTCATATTAAATAGTAAGCTAGCCATACAAACCAAAAAACCCAATAACATAACTTAATTCCCCCCACAGTCGACAAAATAAATTTAAGAAAAATTTTTCATATCATTTTCAAATAAAATATTTTTTTATGGATCTCTCACGGAATATTTTCTTTCCTTTCTTTCCAAATTGATGCTTTTCAAGTGGAAGAAAAAAAAAAGTTTTTTTATTTTGCTGTTGCAAGCAAAAAGAAAGGAGAGAGAGAAAAATTTTCGAGTCATAAACAATAAACGTATGCGCGATGAAAATCGATCGAAAGTTGCTTTCCTTTCATTATTGTTTTTTATGTGCCTTTAAGGGGCTCGTTTTCCATGATTTTTAGCCCTTTCGATGTTGGATTTTATATGCATTGTCAAAGTGGAGATATGGGTGGCATGGAAAAACAAAAATTGTCGAAGTTGAAGAGTTTTGTGGGGTAGGGACCAGGTTTTTAGTAAAGCAAAGTTTCGTCAAGTTTTTGAGACCTCGTCTGTTATTTTAAAGCACAACTAGAAGCTGTGGAGCAAGCAAGTGTGACAAGCGCTTCAATCTTGGGAGTCTTCTATTTAAATTTACATAACCTTAAACATAAGGTACATAAAAAAGGTGCGGAACTCTCCAAAAGTGGGTCGTTTGGGATGGTTACTCAAAACCTCATGTCCCCCTTCTGATTAGAGTTATATAACTTGGAAACAATCCCTTTAAGAACTAATTTTTCCCGTTATTTCGTGATTTGTTTGTTGCATTACATTTTGATTGCTGTTTCTTGTGCCACATAAAGAACCCAGATTGATTGATGTGTTGCTAGTTATTTTTAAGGAAATTACAAAAAATGCATTTTTTTGTAACAGAAATTGAAAGTAAAGAATTTTGACAAGTTTTCAGTTTCAACCCATACTGCGAATTTTGTAATTTTCTTAAAATCGAATAAAAATTTTCGCATGACACTTCAGAAAATTTTCCTTCATTTTTCCTTTATTTATGCGATATCAACTGCTGGCAGTAGCCATAAAAATTTCTCTAGAATAAAATGTTGCTGGTAGCCCTTGATCATTACTAGAAAAAGAACCACTTCTAGTTTCTTCGTCTTTTATTCATTCATTCAAACATTCAGCATTGGTTCCAATAAACATAAATTTAAAGAAAAGCAATGGAAAAAGAATACAGATAAAAAAGAAATAGTGGCTATGTAGAGATAAATTGTCGACAAACTGCTTATCTCAACAGAAAAAATTATAAAAGAAACAAAAAAAGATAAAATTTTTCTTTTTTGAAATCTTTTTTGATGTTCGTTCATCTTTTAAATATTTGTAAGAACTAAATTTTATGGCTGATGCAGAAGGCGCATTCATAGTGTATTTTGAATGATTAACTGAAGTGTAGCGTTGACAAGCTAGAGCTTATCTAACACTCTATCAAACTAAGCATAACATTTATTAAATCTTCAGATGACTTATTATAGTTCAACAATTTCTGAGGGGTTTGTTGAGATAAGGAAGGTTCTGAAAATGTGATCTAGATTGCTTTTTAAAATACACCTGATTTTCAAGAACATTCTCACTGCAGATACTTTATTGTTCATCAAAAGTTCATCATTAAGCATCCTCTTGGATACAACATAAGATTGCTTTCAATCCAGTGATTCATTCATAAGCTTCTTATAATTTCAAAAACCCAAAAATGGCACTTGATTATTATAAAAATAATGTTTTTCCACCCAAAATGACGTAAACAGCTTAAAAAACTTCTCTGAAAATAGAACTATCTTTACACAGTAGACGCTACAACTGCTTGAGAAGACTCTCCAAATTGATTATGATGTATTTTGTAAGCAATTATTATCATCACACAGAAAAGAAACGAAAGGGAAAGAAAAATGAGAAGTTTGAGTATTTTTTTGTGTGAGTGTGTATTGCTGGAGCCGAGCCAAAAATGGAATAAAAAGATGTGCTTCCTCAGCATACATATTTATGCTTATCCCATTTTATGTCAATGACTGGCGATATTTTCATATCATAATGCCACTCAGCATTGTATTACAAATTGCAGACCTAATTTTGTGATATGCAAAAAAAATGGTTCATTGCTATTCATTTGTAACTGTCATAATTTACAAATTTGAATTTACAACGATCGTTGGCTTTTGTGTTGATGAAAAATTAATGAATATTTCATGCGGTTCCCGAGAAAATTATCGTTAATGTCCAAGCTAATTTAATAAATTGTTATTGATAAAGCCATGATATAATAAACATATCACTTAAGGATGCTAAAAATAGCCACAACCATGATGCTCACAAAAAATTAGAATCAAAATTAGCGTATGAATGCTGTAAGGTCATGAATAAATCAGATTTTTTTCTTACAGTTCGTTTCTCTCAATTTTGAAATGCCGCCCTTGCTGCTCTCTCGTTATAAAAGTACAGAACATAATAAGAAGAAGCAAGTGCTTTTGTTTGCATAAAGAATGGCTGTACTAGAGCTAGCAAGGAGGAAGAGAAATAATAAAAACCGAAATGAAATTTATCACTCTTTTGAAATTTGCTTTCCTTTTTTTCGGCATTTTTTTCTTCTCCTCTCCTTGTTCTTGAAATTGTATTATTACCGACTGAATAATCGATTTATATTGTGCTTGTGCTGTATATACTTTATGTTCCTCATTCTAATTGATTTTTGAGGTATTATGCAATGGCTGGGAAATTTTAATAAAAATTTATGATTCGATTTAATTTATTTGGATTTATTTGAGTGAACTTGGGAAATAATTTTGAGTGTCTATGGTCATTTTGTGGGACTTATCGATATTAATAGGTTTACATTTGAGAGAGTATTCTATTTGAATACCGAAACTGGACTAATGCTGAAGCTGAGCTAAAACTGAAGCTCAGCTAATGTTGACGCTGTTTTAAAACGGAGTCAAAGCGTATGCTAAAGCTAAACTAAAGCTTAAGCGACTTGAAATTGAGCCAAACATAAACCTAAAGATGTGCTAAGGCTGAGATTCAGTTTAAGCTTAACATATATAATGCTGAACTGAAGCATAGCTAAAGCTAAACTGAAGCTGAACTGAGGCTGAACTGAGGCTTAACTGAGGCTGAATTGAGGCTGAACTAGCTGAACTGAAGTTGTGCTGAAGCTAAAGTTGAATTGAAGCTGAGCTAAAACTAAAGTAAAACTTTTAAAATCATCCTAATGCGTAACTTCAATTCGACACAATATAAGCTAACAAAAAAAAGAACAGAAATAAAATTAAATTTCCAGCACTCCAAACTCAAAGCTAGTTGCATGAAAATGAATCACTGAGACATTAATGGCTATCGAATCAAATAAAATTCAAAACTATAAATTTTCCACTCCATTTCATTTCCATTTTATGCACACATAGTCATCATATGCCTGTCCGCCTGAAAGATTCGCCAAAGACTCAACGCATGCGAATGCAGCATGCAGAATTTCTTGGAAATACAACGACATTAGTTTTAATACACGAAAATGACATTTATATAAGACAATCACCAGCAGATGAAGAAGATATACGTTTAACGAGTACCGGTGTGGCGGGACTCATTTATAATGGAGTCACCGATTGGTTATATCAAGGTTAGATGATACTCTGAGGACCTTTTAACTATAAATTCATTTATTATGTGTATGTCATTAAAAAATACTCTAATAATTTTATTTATTTCTTTTCATAAAATTTCTTTCGTCCATAAAAAATAATAACAGAGGAAGTTCTAAAATCACAAAAAGCGATATGGAGCTCAAATGATGGTTTATTGCTTCTATATGCTTCGTTTAATGATACCAACGTTGGTCAAATGGTTTATCCATGGTTTTCATCAAATAAACTTGTTCTACAAGCCGGTAAGATAACAAAAATGGGAGCAATTTTTCAATGATTTATGACTTGTGAGGTTTTATGGCGCATTTCTGATAAGATTGGCAGTTAACGAGGCCTTTCTTGTAATGTCGAGTATCACGGCCGTAACCAAGATGGGATTCTCCTTTCTCCTTTCTTGAACAACAATATTTCCATCTTTTTTTAAAATTTTCATACTTCTTACTACCCCACACACCTTAGCTCCTGCCAAAACATTAACCTTTTGAAACATATTTCTGTCACAGTCATTTTGCTATTGTGGCTGCAAAGACCACACGAAAAAGCTCAATTAAATTCTTCCGACTGGGAAAATTTTCAGCAATGAGCTTTGACACCCACGTACAATCTTCATGAAAACAATAATTTCACTTCTAAAAGCAACAATGAAGTACAGTCTCTCTCACAAGTCACACGAGAGAAATTTAATAAAGCCAGTCAGTTCGTAGCCATTAAGGAAACCTCACAATGTCGATATTTCATATCACAAGAAAATATATCACAAACCATATTTTACAGGCGGTCTAACGAGTAAGGGCTCATTTCCTGATGCACAAAGTATTCGTTATCCAACACCTGGCACTTTAAATCCAGAGGTAACGCTATGGCTTCTGGACTTAACCAATTTCACAGATGTACAAAAGTATGAGATTAAGCAGCCAGCTTCGTTAGAAGGACAGTAAGTTTTATGACTTTATGCAACAAAAAAAAAGAATATTTGTTCTGTATAAATAGAGACATGAGAAGCACATGCATATAACGAGATGGAAATTGAGAGAGATATGTTGATGGGAAAAAAGTGTTATAAACGACTTCATTTACTCGTCGTCGTTCTATATCTCTTTCTAGTGCTGCTGCTATGTGCACTTTATTACTACAATGACGATGAATGTGTGTGGTTTGTGATGCAAGGGATGGCTAGTTTAGGAAAGTTTTTTTGGTATTTTTGTTGAATTCTAATATTCAAGTTTTTGTACATGATGAGGTAAACAAGAACTTTGACAGTATATGAGATTCTCGATTTGCTTTAAAGTTTTAGTTTAATTGTATAATAGGTCCTCAGTCCTTATTTATGTATTCAATATGAGACGTTGTTTGGTTTCAAAGGTAAAACTTAACTAAGGACACAGAGAGATACGCAGTTAAGCAAACAAATTACTGGTATGAAAACTAAGTCTTTACATATCAAGCCTCTTACCCCTTGCATCAAAATTTCTATCTAAACAGTTGCACAAAAATTATATGCTGAACTCATTTAATTTTAATCATTTTTTCACAGGGAAAGCTACATAGTTTCCGCGAACTTCATTACAACACCAGCAGTAGTGCAATCGGCATCAATTGTGTGGATGTCCAGACCGCAAAATTACAGCGTCGTTTCTACATGCTTTTCACCTAATTGGACATGTGTGGAGGTTCGTAATCATTTTTGGGATTTTTTTTTCTCACTGTTCTACATTTCCTCTTCTCATAGTTCCCTGTAGATTTGCTACATTCATGAGTCATGAGAGAGAGTCATGCTTAATATAGAAGAAAAAGTTTCATTCTGTATGTTTTTTTTTTCATTTTTCTTTCACTCAAACTAGACACATTCTGAGCGAGCGCCAGAAGACGAATGGCTCGACATTTTACCTCATCCCGTTTTCTCACTCGACGGCGATTCATTTATGCTTTTGGCAGGCATTCAAGAAACGGGCACAGAACATTTTACACACATCAAACATGTTACGATAACACAACAACGAATTTCCGTCATCTCTCATGGACGCTATGAGGTAATGGGGTTTTTCTGTTTTTTGCCTTTTTTTTATTTTATTTATTTTTTTCTACATTCTCTTCTTCTTTCAAAAAAAAAGTACCAATATACATTTATATATCTTTACTATTATTATTGTTAGATTTATAAACGTACATACTATATTTAGTTTTATATGTACATCTATAAGTAACTCACTGCAGTTTTTCATTTTGTTTAAGTTTGTTGAGAGTAGCAAAATAATGGAAGAAATGGAACAAAAATAAAATACTAAGAAGGAGAAGAAAATGAGAATGGAAATCTCAGGCAAATTGTGATAAATTGCAAATGGGAATTTATTTACGTGCTTTTTTTCCCTCATTGAAATTATTTGTCTTGTAATTTTTATATAAAGTGTATGAGGAAATAGGGGTGTGATCCTTATGGTGAATGATGGTAATTTTTTGGACTTTTGAAAAGTTACGCATGGTAATGGAATTGACTCGAGTCGACCCGAGTTTTTTCCAGTCACTATCGACTTCGAACTCTCGTAAAAAGTAAACGAGCTCAGCTACATGGAGCATAGTTTGAGAAACATTGTATAGGAAAGACAAAAAATGAATTGATTTTAATCAAAACTTTAATTTTTCAAAAGCGTAGCTAGTGTGCCTCAATATATATCTGTTCTTAATGATCAGCAATTATTTTCAAATCCTAAAATAACCCGAGGAACACAAAAGTTTTATATCCCTAAAACACAATCATCAAAAAAATTAAAATTTCCCAAAAGATTTATTAAACAAGTCCATACGCACAGATTAACTGCCCCATCACGTTTTTCCTATTATGTGTCCCAATAGACTCACAGTTGGGATGATTGTTCTTCGTTAATATTCTATTAGTTTAAATATTTAATTCACTTTAGTGCTTTAATGGTGTGAATCAAGCGAGCGCATCGAATGGTTCATTAAATCAATCAATTATGAGTGAAATTATTTAATGGGGTAATTGAGTAAATGAAAAACAACTGAATGGACGATAATTGTGTCTGATTTTACTCGGAGTTGATGTGCGTGGGTGAGCTTAAGAGTGTGACAATCACTTAATACAGTAGACTGTTTAATGATAAGTCAATGTCAATGACAAAGCAAGGGGTAAGTCAGAGCTCAAAGTCGATAGGGTTCGAGTCAACTCGAATCGACTTTTTTCTGGGAGTTAACTCGAGTAGACTTCGAGCTCTAGGGGAAGTTAGCAGGGAAGTAGTGAGCCATGGGTTGTAGAGAATCACACTTTTAAATTCAATTGTGTTCACTTTTTTGATTTGGTCCGAGTATCTTGATACCTTGGTTCTTAGGGAGCTTGTGTAAAATTCTGTAATAGAACAGTTTTAGCAACATAATTTAAAGCATAACATTGAGAGAACTGACCTAAAAGTATCATAAGGAAGTTAGTAATTCAACTATATTGCGTTCCCATTTGCAATTTGATTGCTCAAAAAAAAAAGAATTTCCTCTTCTCATTTAAATCGTCAGTCAGCAAACTAAATTTGTACTTTATTTTCAATGTCATTTATTCTTTCTTTTTTTTTCTTTTTTTTATGTTGTAATTTTAACATCTATGTTTCCTTCCTGTGTATTTCTGTCTCTTGATGTTACTACTGCTACAAACATTGTATACACAACACATAACCTCACTTCTGGACTGTTTGAAAAAAAAATGAAAACTTATGAATTGCTCACACAATAAACATTATTTTACTGCATTATATTGTATTGGGACGTGTGATAACGATGCGTATAAAAATATATTTTCCACTTCTCATACACATGGGAATGTCAACCACACATACACACACATGCTCATGATGCCTCAATAAAAATATTTTATAACGCGAATTATTTTGCAATTGAAAACAACTATTGCATAATCAGCAACATCAAGCAGTCGTCACAAATGGAATACAGCACCAGGTAAATCATGTGATGGTTTGCCATGTGTGCAGTGCATTAAAAAAAATTTATTGATTTGAGCATAGAATAAAAGGTAAAAATGCCTTAATCATGCCTGAGTGGACAGCAAAACATTTTGGTTTTTGTTCATAGATCCATTAACTAATTCTCGCGCTAAATACTTTTTTGTGTAACATCTATAATAAAGACTGATAAAAGACAAAGGAACTAATGTGAATGCTTTCTAAAAAAAGGAATTTTCATTTACATTCCCTATATTCTCATATCGATTTCACATTCTTTTATCACTCTGAAATGTTTTTTTTTCTTCTTCATCACATAACAATAGCTTTTTTTTGTGTGCACATTTGGAGGTTCCAAATGAAGTGGAAATAGAATTTTTCACTCATGGAATGTTTTGATTGAGTTGGAGCTTAATGGATTATCCATTAATGAATCTCAATTAAGAGATTTTTGGATGGAATTTTTGAAGTAGTTTCTATGAGCACGGGAATTCTGTTTTTAAGCATGAACGCATAGGAGTGGATAGATTTCAATTAAATATATTATTTTTAGCACAGCTGATAGTAATTTTCAAATCGAGACTGTCTTTAGATGATTATTGCTTTAGATACTCGAGTTATCTTGGTATTTAAGGAATAAGAGCTTGTTCTCTGGAATGGAAAGTAGATCAGACCCGATCAGACCAGTGATTTTTCTTCTTATCATCTCTACATTCCTGTCCTAATTGAATCGCAGTGTCTTCAACTCAAAAAACAAGGCCTTACTTACAATTTATTTTTCAATACTTTCTGTTGCTTTGTTCTAGGCCAGGAAGATTAGAAAATTGTGAATATTTCAAGGACAGCTTTCATGTTAACAAAAATTAGGAATTGAAAGTAACTCCTATGTTTCATTTTGATAAAAAAACAGAGTCCCAGCTTCCAATATTACAACATTTTCATGAAAATCTTTGAATCCAGGTATCGAACTGCTTCACATCCTTCCTATTCTCCTTGCAAAATTGACATTATCATGTAAAACTTATTCCTTAGACTTTTTATTGAAGATTAGAAACCAATATCCCTCCAATCCTAGCAACAAACAACAAAACGAATATTATTGGAACCTCCAAAACAGTGCGAATTAAAAAGCTAAACACAAATAATATAATATGAGCAAAAATGAACGTCATCATCTCTCCCCTCAAAAGAGTTTTGCTCTCAATACATATAATATCCATATACATGCTTATATTCATCGTTCGTTTGGCAACAGAAGAGCTGAAAATAAAAAAAACTATCTACTAATGAGCCAATTTTGCAATTAGCTTAAATGAACTAATCCAATTATGAAGCGTCGGTGTGATAGTTGGTATTGTTTGAAAATTTTTCCTCTCTTTTTATTCCTCCTTCATTCAGCTGACTGCATATAAAAATACATTTGAAAAATTATTGCTGCTGCTTTTATGTCTTCTGCTAGAGAAAGTTTTTCATGTTTTTTTTTTTTTGAAAGAATTCCTCTTTTATTCGCAATTCCAAATGAATAATTGAACGAATGACATTAAATTAAATTTTTTTTCTGACGCCTTAACATCGGAAATGTTGATTTATTTTGACACTCAGTGTCGATGAAAGTTTTGTGAAAGTTATTTAAAGTCAATAAAACTATTCATAAAGTTTGACATTGAAAATTGTAATGATGCTCATTGGCGTCGGTGTTGTGCATGTAATATGTAAGCGTCTCATGGCCTCATGAATTTTACATCGGAAAACTATTTTGTAGTTTATGAGATTTCCATGGCACATTCAGGGTAATATAATTCTGAATTAATTTTGCAAAACGTTACTTCTCGATATTTGGGGATTATTGATCTTATTTTTAGCCCTGGTCGGCGATTTACTACTATTGCTATCTTGTATATTATTGTTACCCCAAAACTTGCTCTTTAAATGGAAAAATGAAAAGTTATGAAGAATAACATGAAGTGTTAGTGCAACGCTCAGGATTTTGGGTTTTTTGCTTAACGTGATCAATGAATGAGTCTTAATGCTACTTATATGACATAGCCTATTGCCCAGGAACGAAACACACCTCCAAATTTTCATTTCAAAAATATTCCTTGCAAGCAAAAAGTGTTAATATTTACTTTATCGACACGTGGACATTCAAATAAATTATCAATGATTTCATTGAAAGATCTCCGTACGCAAATCTACACGTCATGAGCTATATGTTTATTTTACTATGTCTCTTGTTAAGATACATCACGAGAAAAAAATACATTTTAAAGAATTTTTTTTGAGGAACCTTGAAAAATTTTCTGATTTGTTTGTAAATTCACTTCTGCTTTTTTTTGAGGAATTCAATGACTGAGGTAAAGTTTATAAAAATTTCGCGAAATAAAAAATTGTAAAAAGCAGATACACATCTAAAAATATCCTCAATTAGATCAATCATCATCACATAATTTATTTAAAACTTTTTCAGTCGAATTTTTAAAATGATTTATCGATAATTAGTCACTTCCTCTTGTGCTTAAATGAATCATATTTGACAGAGTTTCGACTTTTTTCTCATATCAAGCAAAAAATATTAGAATATCGCACAAACAAAGCCACCCCCAACAAACACACACATAAAATTGGAAACCAAATAATAAAGAAGAAGAAATAAAAAAATTTGCGTGCAATTGCTTGCACAATAAGTGAGTAGATTTCGAACTGATAGGAATGTGAAAGGAGAGCAAGGTCAGGGATTTGTGTAGACGAAAAGCAGTAGCATGAATATAATCTTCTTGATGGCTTTTCTTTTCCGGAATATGTGGAAGGTTCAACTAGCTCTGTGAAACTTTGAAATGGAGTAAAAGCATAAATTTTTGACTTTTTGGTATGCTTTTATCCAGTTTAGATTTTGTGTTCTTGATTTATTCTTAACGGAAGCAAAACGCGCTATTGTAGATTCGATTCTATATATTATCCAAATGTGCCTACATCATCGCATAAATTCTTCAATATCAAAATTTTCCTTCCACTCTCACAAGCAGCCAGCCTGAAAATATGTAAAACAGGCCATCTGTAGTTCTGGATTTAGGAGGATAGACAATAAACATTCTTTTATGTCATCAATAATCTACCCTTAACCAAAGAAATGGCTGTAAATTTGATGGTGCTTTTAGCGAGCAGTTGAATTAAAAGCAGCAGTGGTAGCAAATAAAGAACTGAGACAAGAAAGTCTCGATGACGACATTTTTATTATGCCTAAATGTTTTGTATAGATATACTCATGAGAAGGAAATAACATTTTTTTGACAAGCATTCCCAGAAGCGATAAAATCGTTCTTATCCTCCTCCCAAATTTTTGTTTCCTCAGAATCCATCTTTTGAGTTTCGTCATCTTTATTTTTGTGTATGTAATCATCCTTTAAAAAAAACTGAAGAGAACTTTTCTGCTTTTGCTATACGCACGCTTCTTGCTTTTGCCATTTTATTCAATTAACTGGAATGTTTTATGAGCCTCAGCCATAAAATAATGATTCAGAAAGTTAAATGAATAATAATGTTCTTGAATATATGATATAGAATTTTATTTTTTTTGTTGTGTTTATTGATTCTCTTTTGTTTTCTTAGTTCTTATATATCTGTGCATATTTATGAAACACTTTTTACTCACATGATGTCTTTCTCTTTTCTCTTTTTCCTTCTTTATTTTATGGAAATATAAAACTATACTTCCGGATATTTCAGGTTGTAAGAATATTGGCTTGGGATACATTTAATCATTTAGTTTATTATCTCGGTACGCAAGATAAGAAGCCTGGTCAGCAGCACTTGTATACTGTAAGAGATCCTGTTAATGAGGATCCTAGAAGGTGAGCTTTAATATTATATTAAATATTTTTTTTTATTTGTGTATATTAAATTGAATTTTGTCGATATCTTTTGTGGAAATTTTGTCAGAATTTTTAATTTGAGTATGAGTTGATGAGGTTTTCGGAGGTATATAAGTTCTCTAATTATACTGTCGTAGCAAGATTAGATTAAAGAGGGTATTTACATAGTTGTTAAAAATAAAATGGGTTATTCCCGAATGGCACAAGTCGGTTTATCGAATAGAAATCCAGCGCCTAGCTGGCATGACTCTGGCATGATACTGGCTTTGATTTAAATCCAGCACCATGCTAGAGTCCTGATTTATGATCGATTAACCGACTTGTACCATTCGGGATTGTGTTTTGTGCACTGCCTTTTATTCAGAAACATAGTCTAGAAGAAATATACTATACAGAGACTACATATTGACATCCCAATTACTTGAAACAATCAATTTACCAATTTAGCTAGCAAATATAAAGCTTGTGGAATGATTAATCGAAACTGGATGTCAATAATCGTCTTAAAAAGATCAGAAATTTACTAGATTTGACATTAAGTCGTTAAAGTTTGATTCAAACATAATACCACCGAGATTCGAACTTGGGATCGGATTTTTATATGCCAAATGATTTAATTCATTGCACCACAAAGCCATATTCTCAACCCATCGATAACCATGCTCTGATATCATCTTAAGCCACTATTCCTGGATAGTCAACAAGAAAACTCTTTAAAAACTCATCCAATACCATACAAAAAAATAAAGTCTGACAAAATTTTTCCATGAACGATTTTCCTCTTCACATCTCTCAATGATGTTTCTGATGAGGAACAAGAAAGCAAGAAATCTAATAACATAATCGAGAAAATAGAAAACTTTGAATACGAATGATATTAAACGAGTATCTGATAAAAGTTGATTTCATTATAGCGCATTTTTGTTCTTCTGTTGATGTCGAGAAGAAAATAAGAAAGCAAAAAAAAAAAAAAAGAATTAATGAAGTTAGGTAAACTTTTGAATAAATGAATAAAATTAGATTCTACTTATAATCTTATCTATATGAACTATTGTTAAAAAATTTAAAATTCTCCTCATAGCGCTTCCTTTAGAGGTTTTTAGTTTATACAAGAAAACTTAAAAAAGTTATGCTGATTAAGTTTTTGATAGGAGATTTTTGCAACATAAAGTTTTTAATAATGAAGTTCAATTCATGAAGTCTTCTTAAGGTTGGTTGGTATAGTGGAAAAATAAATTAAACTTGACTTTCTGCTTAGAATTAAGGAGTGCAATTTTGGATGAATATTGAAGGAACTTACGGCCTGTTTCACTAAAGTGGATTATCCTCGAATTCGGATTATCCACTTCATTATTAGATTAGTGATTAGATATTTGTTCAGATTAGAAATCCGAAAACTGATAATTTGAGAAGATAATCCATCATCTGAGTTTTGAGAACAATCTAAGAACCTCAAACTACGCCATTGCTTTAGTCGAGTAAAATATCATCGCATTTACTAATTTCCCCTTTCAATATAATCAAGACAATCTACAGATCTAGCCATACCCTTTTAATTAACCTGACCAAAACATCTTTAACTTTCCTTCCAAAATTTCCATTTTCTTTCAAAACTATATTGTTTATGCCTCAATAGAGTCATTGGATCGATGATATTTTATGACACCCTTAACTTTTAGTGCTGACAAAACATATATAAATTGTCATTGTTACTATCTCATGTAGAAAATTGTCAATCTGAATATGAGATGTAGACCGTCTTTATGATGGTCTTAAATATATTAATTGCTTAATTTTTCTTTTCTTTTCTTGCGTAACATCCAATCGAGGTCATCATGATGAGTTGTTCTGTGAATTGTTGCTTATAGAAAAAAGTTTTGTTTTTCTTTGGAAATTGTTATTTTTTACAAACTTTCTATGAGATTAGTAAGAAGGACCTTGAAGGAATTAAAGTTCGGACGTAAATAAATGATGCTTATTTAAAAATATCGAATTTTAATTTTCTTCTTCATCTCGGATGTAATATCCATGAATAGAAGGGTCTGGGTGGAACGTGTCTAACAGTGTCTAAGAACATTTACCTTTTATTAATGGCTCATATTCCATCTATTAAAATAAAAATAGAATCGGAGATCATTTTTGACTTAAAACTGAAAAAAATGAATTGCTCAAAAATAACTTGAACTGTAAAGCTCCGCAACAATTTGAGTAAATATAACCAAACGAGATATCCGATCGCTATCACTAATTCTAATACAATAGAGTCAAATTCAGCATATTTAAATTTCACTTCCAATCATCCTTTCAAATGAAAACAATCTACTGAATTTAACTTCATTTAGATAAACGATGACTTTTTGTATTTCTCATCGATGAGACAACAGGAAAAAAATGCGCTAGAATGAATAAAAATGCAAAATAAGCCATTCGCAATACAAAGAAGAGAAAAACTCAATTGAAAAGAAAAATTATCTCTATTTTCGTTTAATTTTTAGATGCAAGGGGTGGTGACTTTTGTGATTTTTTATTGGATGAGGTATTCTCTTGCATAATTATTTGAATAAGTTTTGATCAGTGATTCACAAACTTTTCAGGGCAATTATTTTACACCTGACCCTTTTGTCAGGCATTGTTGTCTATTTTGAACACTTTCAATGATGCAGTGCTGTCCAACCTGTTTTCAGCCACAACACTTTTTGACTTTAGATATTTTTTTACGGCACACCTATAAATTGCCTTTTATCTAGTGTAAAATCTACAAATTTCTGAAAAACTATCTGTTTTTGATTTTTTAAATATTTTTCCACGGCACACCTAAAGATGTCGTCCTGCATACAGTTTGTACAATACTGCAATAATGCCTTGACATAATAGTGTTTGTCAAAGCAGAATTTGAGCAGCACTGGTTTCCACACATCGATAAATACACATTTACATAAAATCCTGAAAACAAAAGTCACCATCCTTTGCTAAATTCAATTTCTCGATGAAATCGCATCAAGCTCTACAAAAAAAAATCTAATAACATAATTTATTTTCCTTCTGTATTCTTTGTTCATCTATTTCTTCTTTTTTTTCATAAAACATCGCAACAAAAATTCATGAACACAAAAAAATACAAAAAACAATCTTGCAAACGAAAAAAAAAGTTCATTAAACAAAATAGACCGGTAAATACTGTTATCTCCTTTTTAATTCTTCATCTTTTTTCATCATCTTTGTATCGTTTTATGTTTGAAAATAATTAAAGATTTTCTCAATTTTTATGGGTTTTTTGTTCTCCTTTTTCATCATGAAAAGGGAATTTTCACCTTTATTCTTTGCTGTTTTTATGTTCCTTTCTTTTACTATTTGTTGTACCTAATTCAGCTATCCAGAATAAGAGCTTTTTTCATCAGCTTATAAACAATAAAAAGCAATTGTGTAAAGGCATTTGAACAAAAAATAAATTTTAGAGCTTTTTTTGTGTAAGAAAAGAAGTTCCGAGCGACAATGAATGCTGATTTGTCATGATGTTGTGCTGGTTACACGAAATAGTTATCTCTTTTGTTGTCTTTACTGAAAAAATACTTTAATGGAAGTTTGGCAGCTATGTGGATAGCTAAATCGTGTTGGTTGAGCAACTTTACATCAAATATCGATGTTTTGGCAATCAGCAGTTATTCCAGCTCGGGAATAGAAGTAAATATTGCACAGCAGCATGTGCGGTGATTTTTGGAGAGAAATAAATAATTCTCCTGCTTGAAACATTTATTTTCGGTTTCTTTGACTGAATAAATAAAGGAACAATAGCAAAATCTGCGGAATAGAATAGTTTTTTGTTGGATGGCTCAATCGATTTACAATCGAAGTATTATTTGGAGACCAGGACAACAAGATTCTGAATTTTTTACTTTGAAAGTGTCCTTGGAATTAAATTTTCATTTTGTGCTTCCTTTTTTGTTTTTTTAAAATGCTGGAAGATTCATTTTTTTTTGTAAGATGTTCAGGACTGATTGTGGGAGCTTTCCTCAATTGACTAGCAAAATTTTTATTCAGCTTCAATAGATAAGTTTTTTAAATTTCCTTGATTCACTTCGCTAGCATCAGGCATCAAAAAAGTTAAAGACTTATAGAGTTGTCTTCATGAATGAGATCTATGGACTGACAAGTTTTCAATATTAGAAGTGTAATTTTGGCACAGTGCTGGATTTAAATCGAAGTCAGTACCATGCCAGAGTCACGCTGGCTTGGCGCTGGATTTCTATTCGATTAACCGTCTTGTGCTATTTGGGATGACTCTATGTTCTTAAGCGAGACTAGGTTCACAACCTATTATTTAACTGCAAACGTTTTTAATTTGAAACATCAATCAAAATAAGACAAATTGAGTATCATCCAACTTTAGACCTTCCATTTTCATTACAACAACGCTAATCATTAATAAACAACAATAAAAAAATCGGACTGGATATTATGCAATGGTTTTAAGTAGGAACAATAGGGAAGAATATTTGGCTTTTGAAAAATTTCTCTATTATCCTTACACAGAGATTTAAGAAGTTTCTGTAAATGATATATTTGGCGTTACGTAACATATAAATGACCCCAAAACAAGATCATTGCTGAAAAAAGTTTATCAAAAAAATATTTTAAAACATTTTCAATTCTTCTTTCTAAATGAAAGTTTCCTTGAATGACAGACATGGAGACTAGCAATTTAGGATTGGATCATTCACAAATCATGTTTCCAAAAATATTATAATTTTTATAATTTTTTTTGCCTCAATCCAGCTGTAAAATCAAAAGTTTAAGTCCTGCGAACACTAATCATCTCTCTAAGCAATACATTCTCTAAGAATACAGTAACACTATAAATATTAAACATCATAAGTGAACGACCCCTATTTGGAGACGCACGAAGAAAAAAGCAGCAAAAATTCAGACATGCAATGATTACACTGACAATATTGACCATCTCCTTTTTCGAAATAAATCGTTTAAAAAGAAAACATAGAAAAAATATTTTTTTATAGATCCTCGTATGTGCGTATTTGTACAAATTCTATCTGTAAATAGTATCCACATATAAAAAAGTTTTTCGCATGACTGAGCCATTTGTAATGAAATGGAATGAAACATTAATATCTGTCGTGTCGATATTTCGGCACCCGATTAATGCTTCATTGGCCACACTACATATAATATAAATTTTATTTCCCATGTATCATATTGCAAAATACTGATGCTGTTGACGCTATTGTTCCTACATTTATTTCGATCAGCTGCAAATTTGATTGTTAATGAATTGAATAAATTCGTGCGGTGTTAAATGATGTAAATAATCAGCATAATAGCTACATGATGTTCAATCCTACTATCTTTATATCCTTGAATGTGCAAGAAGAAGCTTTTGATGTCTATATGTGCATATCTCATACTGTGATGTTTTCATTCTGTTTAAACAATAAAATGGAAATATTGTGAGGAGAAAAAAAGTTTATACGAGTTTTTTTACATTCACAATTTCTTTCATCAGCAAGCTGGATAAAAGTTTTTGGTTGACTGAAATTTTGGAAGAAGTTTGATTTTTGGTTTAGTCACTCTGGTGTATATTCAAGCGTGACTCGAATTTTCGGGATTTCAATATATCAGGAGGTCGTAGGATAGAGATTTGGGTTGTTTGACTTAAAGCTCATTCTTAAGAGACTTCTTGTGGATTAAAGGTTCATACTTAGTCTAATACAGCATTTAAGAAGTAGTTGTGAGTGGATCTAATTTCTTGATAGACATCATTTATGACAGACTTCTTAAGAACATCTAAAACTATCAATTCTTCATAAAAACAAACTAGAAAACAGTTACACGTTTATGACCATCTCTCATGTCTTTTAATGACCTCTCCAACTTAATATTTTGTCGTCCTTTCATCTGCTGACAATCACGAACCAGTCAGAGATTTTTCGAGCTTGATAACAAGCAGACCAATTAAATTGAGTGACAATCAATTAATTTTTTCCGCTTCAGTTGTTTTTTTTTTATTATTGTCATTTACCATATTTCCCATAAAGTATCTTCTTCTACCCCCCGCCACCATCGACACAAAAGTTTATTGAATTTTTTTCTCATTTCCTATGCTTTTTCATGTTGGCTTGCTTCTTGCGTCTACCATACTATTTCATTTCATTTCTGATTACTAAAATAGCATATAGAATCATAAAGCATTGCATGAAGTGTACAAAAGAGATCTATGCAACTAAAAAATTTGTTTGTGTGTGCATTTGTAGAGCATATGGAGGAAAATTTACACATGTTACTCATATGAAAGTTAAATTAATATTTGCTACAGTTTTACATTAAATGAAGATATCTTCTGTGATCTTCTTTACTGCTTTTTCCTGCTTGCATAAATGGGATTTAAATGTTTCATGTAGGAGCATTCATAAAGAGCTTAAGTTGAGGTTTTTATGGGTGATAAGTTTTGGGTTTAAAAGCGCTTATTTAATATAATATTTGAATGATGCAAATTAAAGGAAAATCAAATTAAGGATGCGAAATTCAAACTGTTGAGGCAAATAATGATGCAAATGTTTATGTTAATAACGATGATGCGTGGAAAAAAAGCTAAAAGTGATGCAAAAAATTAATAGTTGAGGCAAAAAGTGACGCAAAAGGAAACAAACTGTTCAAAACTTTAAAATCTGTTTCAAAATTTCCAACAAAAATTGAGAGAAGAAATTTCAAAACCAAGCTAAAAGTTCAACTTTTCATCCAAAGACGTCAAATCAAACTTTGAAAAACAAAAAGCAAAAAAAAAGTTAAAGTTCAACGAATACAGCTCAAAAATATGTCAGATTACAACTTTTAATTGCATCCTCTCTTCGACATTTCTTTTCTTATTTGCTGTTCTTAATTTAATACTTTCTTTGTCATCAAAGTTTTCTCTCTCTATCTCATCCTTAATGAGAATCTTATTATGTTTCATATGAGAAAAAAAAACGTCTTCGAAAGCAAATTACAGCATACAAACAAAAGCACTAACGACATTCAGCCAAAATAATTACATTCTACGTTCATTACTGTCCATAAGAGAACGTTCAAAAAAAATAAATAAAATAATTCTGTGGTTTTTCATTATGTTTCCTAGCATAAAATTAATATATCCATACCAAAATGTGTGTCTCCTTTCCCATTTTCATTCTTCTGTGAAATTCTTTCATGTCACTGGACATCAAAGTGATGCTCTGTGATGTATGAGTAAAATGCTCCTCATCGTTACATGTGTTATGATATAATAGCTTGTTGAAGTCAAAAAGTTGAGAAATGTGGAGATGAATAGATTGTGTGCTTAAAAATGAATCATTTTAAATGAGATTTTTGGAAATTAGAAGTTTTCGAAAATGTGAATGAGATAGAAATAAAGTTTTAGGAATGAGGAAAGACATAATGAATGTGTCCTACACAACCTAACATTTGGGAGGTATGAGAGTCTAGAGCTAGTTTGAAAATGATATCATTTTGCTTCTGATACTTAGCAGCTGATGACTCTTGCAAACAATAGATTCTGAAACACTCTATTGACGACATTTATGCTTGTAGACTACCAATGAAGATTGTAAGCTTTAATATTAGTTCCAATAATCCAGAAAAATGAACAAATTGGTATACAAGGTCTCGAACTTAGGATCACTAAGTTGCTGGTGCAATTATCAGACACCAAAATATTAAGCACTAAGCCTACGTTCCATTTTATTTTGAAGTTTAGATGGCCTATAAACCTTATTTTTCAACGGCACCACTAAAATGACTATTTGCTTTACTTTGATGAGATTTTCAATTGAATATTGGAAATTAAGGCTTTGAAGAATGTTCATTTTTGTGAAATGGGATATTCAGGATTTTTATTTAACTTTTCAAAAGGAAATTAAAGCTTTAAAACTGTTTCATCAATAAAAATTGAAAATCTGCAAATACAAATTCCTTTGCTGATTCATATTCAGGAATTTGCATTCCAAACTCATTTTCAATGCATGAAAAAATTCAAGCCATTCCATGTGTATGATAAATCGTGAACAAGCATTTTCAAGCTTATTTTTTTTAAAGGCAGATGTTATTGAAATTTTTTTTCACTCCCCAAAAATCTCAAAAAAAATTTGTTGTTCTTGTTTCGAGGGTAGATCCAGCAAGAAACGATTTCTCATTTAAATTTTAAATCAAATTCTATAAATAGCTCTGAGTCTCCCATTTCCAATAAGCAATTCATCTTCTTATTTTTCCTTGCTCCACATTTTTTTTGTGTGTTGGTTTCTCCCACAACAACATACGATGAAGTAGGAAAAAAGTTTCCCGGTTCTTAACAATAAACAAAACAAAAAATGACATAAATTTTCCTCTATTCTTCCTCCAAATATAAAAACGAAAGTACCATCGAAAGATTTATTTCGATTTTATGAACAGCAAGCTGTATACAAATTGCATTAAAACTCGTAAACATACAATGAACACAGCCACATAGAGAGGCGCTAGACATTGAAGACAAAAAAATTTAAGAGTAATCATTTTTTTTGGATATCTTTGAAGAATGTCGTCCAGATTGGTTGGATTAAGCGATGACGTCATAAATTCTGATGAAAATGGATTATTGAGAATTTGTTTAAGCTATTAAAGTAATTGGGAAAGGTACCAAGGTATTTATAGAAACTAAGTTCAATATTTGTAAACATTATTGAACTGTTCGAGGTAAGAGCTTCTTACTTTCGCAACGAGGGCTCACAATGTGCCATTACCTCAATTCAGAGATAGGTAAAAGCTGACTTAAATTTTAGATTCCAAAGAAATGGAACAAACTTATTAGTCTACTGCAAGAGATTTGAACAAGGATGAACATAAACTCTATCACTTTGTTAAAACGTATGCATAAACACAGATCATAGCTCTCATACTCATTCACACCTCACTTTACAATCCACACCATATACATGCATCCAAATAGCCTGGCTTTTCACACTTTCGCCTCTTATCTCTTTGATTTTTTCTCATGTTTTCATTTTACTTTAAATAATATTTTTCATTTTTTTATACGCTGTAAATGAACGCTGTAAACACGAATGAAAAATTTTTCATTTTTTTTTTGTTGTTGTTGAAAAGTGAATTTTAAACATGAACATTATTCTACTCGATTTTAATGCCTTTTCTTGTCGTAAGTGCCATTAAAAGTAATAATAAATGCTTGTTGGTAGTGTTCAGAGAGAAAAAAGAAAGAGGAACAGAAAAAAAAAGTTTTTCACTTTCTCATTCATGGCTATTAAAATAAACCCACAAACAAAAAAACAAACAACGAAAGAAAAAGGAAATAAACAAGTTTGGAAGTCATTTTTTATTAATTGAACCATTAATGAGCATTTTTGTGGTTGTACAAACAGCAAATTAATTAATAGACCAAGAGAAAGTGGCGAGATTTATTTGAAAGATGGACATTTAAATTAATTAAGTTTGCTACCGTAATTGATTTTGTTCTTGAAATTTATAAAGAACAATTTGACTTTAAAATGATTCTTTAGAGGTTCAATAGGTTCATTCATTTTTGACATTTCTTAAGGATGTGTGTTTGTAATTTGTGAGTCAGTTGATGCTTTAGCTGACCTAGATATGAAAAAAAGAAAGTGTCAATATTTGTGTTAGAAGAAGGTACATCATTCCAAAGGTCAGCAACTTCAAAAAGAAATATTATTTTATTTAGTGTCTTAGTATTGTGTGACCTTCAGATGGTGCTGTAAAATATAAAAATAAGTAAACTATGTTGTTAATTGACTGCAAAATACACTGTTGTATACACAAAAAAAAATAGAATTGTTAACCTTATGCATAATGGCTTAATAGTTTATCTTTGCTGCTTAGTCTAATAGAAAATTTCTATGAATTATAGAGCTGAACTTTAGTAACAATCTTAAAAATATATAAAATTATTTTTGAAATTCATAACAAAACTAGACTAGAGATTTTTCAAACACACAAAATTAAAGATGCGGAACTGATCAATTAGATTTTGGTCAATTTTGAAAGTTTTTGATCAGTTCCGCACTTTTGAAAAAAGACAAAAATTTCAAATGTTAAAAACAATAAGTCGTTAATACAGCTTTAATTGGAATTGCCACTTCATTTCTTTATCATATCAAATTTTGATCACTTTAAATCCAATATTATTGCCACTGCAGCATCAATATCAAATGACATGGTGTATTATTAACAAATCAATTTATTCATTCACCAGCATGCTTCACTACAACAATAAAATAGTTTTAAAATAAAATCAATCATTTAAAATTTATATTAATTTTGTGGAATTTATGAGCTTAAAAAATATTTGAAAACTTTTTATTCATGAAAATGTGCAGCATAAAAAATATATCCAAAATTAAATTTAAATCCGGTAGTGATTTTGAGCTTAAAAGTTTTTAAGCTGTTTATTGAAGCACTGGCAGTTATGACAGCATTAAAGCTGAATCATGAAGGATCACAGGACTTAAAGTCCACAATAAATTAATTAATAGACTCACATGTGACATATCATTGACATTCCTAATCCAATTTGAGTAGCACAAAAAAATAATCGTTTTTGTAGTTGTGCTTGAATTCATGCGAAAATAATCTGTGCTGTATATATGGCTTTGCTAATATCTAACATGTGTGGAGCTATTTGGAAATTACGGGATGCTAGAACGAGTCATATTGGACCTCCTGAGTTAGTGTTGATTAAATGAGTTTTGAAAAATTAAATTTATTGAATAAACAACTGAAAATGTGCGACTTCCTGCCTTCTTTGAAGCAAATCATCACGTAATATCCAATCAGCCCCTTAGTATTTAAATCATTTTAAAGTATTGACACTGTCTTACTAATGAAATTATTTTCGATTTCATTTCTTTCATGATATGTCAACAACAACAACAATCGACACTAGGACGGAGCCACAATGCATAACTTGTGAATCAAGTGAAACATTATGGAGAAGTAAAGATTATTATAGCAACTGCACACATTTTGAAGCGTACGTTGCTCCAAAGTCTTCCATTACAACAGATGCAGGTGTCGATTACTACATCCTTGAATGTCGAGGTCCTTCATTGCCTTTTGCCGGTGAGCTAGAAAAAAAATTTCTTCTTTTTTTCAGTGCTAAAACTTTTTTTGTTGCTCCTCTCTCGGACGGGAAAAAAATTCTCTTTTGGAAATTTCCATTGGAAATGACAAAAACATTTTATTCTTTCCTGCTGGGAGCAGAGAGTCACTGTGTTGGTGTGATTGATGAGCTGTGCTTATCATAATCTTTACACATCTTTTGCTCCCCTATAAATTTTTTTCAGTTACCTTTCATTTAATATTTGTACTTACTCTCCATCTTACTCTCTCTGTCTTTCTCTCTCTCTCTCTCTTTGTTTCTATTTTTATTTTTGTCTCTCATTCACAGGTGTACATTCAGCAAAATCACACAAACTTGTTAGAATCTTATATGATACACGAAAGCAATTTCAAGATAAACTTCAATCATTGGCTCTACCGTCACAACGTTCATTTGAAATTTCATTAACACATGGCACGCGTGCTGCTGTACAAATGCTATTTCCACCTAGTTGGCGTGAGGAACTTAGAGATGCCGCATTTCCTGTACTTGTCGAAGTGTAAGTGAAATTTTGTTTTTGTATATGTATGAAAGGCATGAATATCCGTGCCTTTTGTCGTCCGTAAAATGTAATTTATGGTGGTAAAAAATATTTCATATCCTTATAGTAACTTTACTTATTTACTTCTAAGCTAGATCTTTCGTTTTTGGAGAATGAGATGTGTGCTTATTACAATTGGATATAAAAATTTTGAAACTTAAAAATTAGATGCAAAGAAGGAGTTCTGTATTTTTTTTAAAGCTCAAAGAAATATTTTTGCAAGAAAACTTTGTGATAAGCAGGAAGGAGAGGAAAATGACCAACAAGACTATAAAAATCTAGAAAAAAGTTTCTCTCAACATTCCTGAATTTTTATTAAGAAAAACATTCAACAAGTAAAATCCAGCTCAAAAATAAAACTATCGACATCATAGAACCTCAATTCCGTCCGCACATATTTGTGCCAAAGATATGTACACAATGTACATAAATACACAATATATTTTCCCTTAAATTGTTGCTAGCACTCATCTCATCTCTCAAGACATAGTAAAGAAAAGCTCAATTTTCTTCCGTTCTTGCCTCTTTTATGACAACACTTATACACAAAAAAAGTCATTTTCATTTGCAGTAACGGTAAACCGGGTGAGACATCCGTAGTTGATGAGTTTCGAATCGATTGGGGAACGTACATGTCAAGTCACAATGATATTGTATATATACGACTGGATGTGAGAGGCGCCAAAGGTCAGGGAAAGAAGAAGCTGTTTCGCCACTTGGGCGGTGTTGAAGTCGATGATCAGATTGCGGCTGTAGAGTGAGTATCGTTCTTAGAAATGTTTGTGCTGTGGTTAAATGGGAAACATCTGAATGTTATGTAACTCAAGAGGTTGTCTTGTGAAATTTTTGTTTGACATTCTTTTTAAAGTTCATAAAATTTTTGCTGTGAATAAGGGATAATCATTTTGAGTGTTACGTACTCTTCGAACAACCCCTTAAAAGGAAAGGATACACAAAATTTTTTCATGTGTTGCATATGTACCATACGCAATGAGATATTCATCTCATATAGCTCTCACGCAAAATACGTGCTCTGTCGAGTCAAAGCACTTTAATTTGATTAATATGATAAAAACATAGAAAATGATAGCAGATAAATAGATGTAGGAGAATAAATTAGTGCCAATTTAAGTTTATGAGTATGAAAAATATTTTTTTTTCCATCTTTTCGCCTGGTTTTATGATTATTATACGAAACGAAAATAAGAATAGTTGCTATAATCTTTACGATGATAATGAGTACTGTTAATCATCAACATATTATGACTTGCTACGGAATTAATGAAATGCTATTATGCAACGACAAGAAGAATTAATGGATAAAATTTTCATATTTTTTTTTATACATTTCTCTTCATGTTTACGGTTTTTATAGCAATAGTGAGTTAATTGGATGAATAATAAGCATGACGACCGATTTAATGAATTGTGCTGTTATTATTTAGTTTTACGGGAAAACTTTTCTTCTTCCAAACATTTTCCGAGCAATTTTCTTTCGAAACTTTTCAACAGATCAACTCTCATCGTGTGCTTAATTTATTCAGATTATGATCTGTGGATGAAAAGTTGTTTAATTTTTTTGAAACAATTGTTTTAAGACTGATGTATAGTTTAATTAGAGTAAAGCAATATTTTTTTAAAGTTTAAGACTGCGACGCACTTAAGCATTTATTCACTGGATCCACAAACATTTTATGTCATGGTTGTAGGTTTTAAACTATAGGTTTTGAGATGTAGGCTTTGAGGTGGATGTTTTGAGGCATTTTGTGAATCATAGTTTGAAAAGCAATTAATATCTAAGTGAATACCACTCCTGAAAGTATGAGAACTCTTGGACTGACTTAGATAAATTGAAATTTGATTTCTAAATTTCAAGGCACGCATAATTATCTATGTATACATCTCGTCAAGGCTATTCCTACCTGGATATATTTCTGGCAACATCATTTAATCAGCTAGAGCAGTTTTATCCAAACTTTTTGAGTCACAGCACATCTTAAGGGTAAGCCATGACCGAAGTAGCACACAACAAGCGATTCGTGTTATTTTAATCAATTTCAACGGTACACCAGTGTGCCACTGCACACAGTTTGGACAACACTGAGCTAGAGAGTATAAAGAGCAGCTAGAAAAGTTCAATCCAATGCAAAAATTTCTTTTGATCAGCATCAAAAAAAGAATTAAATTTAAAATCGAGATTTCTATTACCTAACATGAACAATTCGCTCCTCTTTAATTAACCATAATTTCCACAAAACTGGACTTAATTACTCAGTCATTCATAGCTCTAAATACAATCACGAAATTATTACACTAATCCCTCTATTGTCTGTAGAATAATTTCAAAAATCCATTCAATTTTGATTGCACATTTTGCGTGATGATAATTATAGTTTTTGGAAGTTTTGACAGTAAATTTCGGTTAGTTAAATTACACTGCGGACATTTGATTTATAATGCAAGTATTACAGAATATCCACTAAAAAATTTAATTTGATTACAGTTTTTATGATAGCTACGCTCATTAAGCTTTCAGTTTTAATCGTTTATTATAGCGGAAGCTTTTTGTGATGGAATATAGACACAGAGGAATTAGGTTTGTTTTTTTTTATGGTTGTCCAGTATCTCGGTTATTTTATTAATGTGAGGAGGGAATTTTTTAATGAGATTTGATGTGGACATCAAGGTGTGAAGTAATGCCAGAAGATATAAGATTCAATAAAAAAAAAAAAATGTTCAGAAAAGTACGGAACTTAAAGTTTAAAAATTAAGTCAACTTGATTCTCAAAAATTGGTTGATAATAAGATTCTAGAACAAAATAGTCAGTTCCCTGAATCATTTTCTATACTGAATTATTCTGTTTTTAATTTCACTACAAATCTGTCTAGACCGGCTCATTGATATAATATAAAATACTGGGCTCATTTTACAAAATACCAATAATTCAGCCTAGTTCTTGAAAATAAAATCTCACGATAAATTATCAACAGAACTAGATAATAAAAAATGACAAAGGAAATCAAACTAATTGCATGAAAAACTTTCACATTTCTCAAGAACATCACTCATCCACTTCTAAAAAACTTTCCACTTCCATTTATATTTCTGAGGCATTAAACAGTTAATGTATGATAAAAGAAGCAAATGTTCCAAACAGAAGCAGCAAGAAGACTTTATCGAGAATCAAAAGTTAGAAGGCACATGCAATGCGGTGTTATTAAATCATCAAAAAAAAAATCCACATGGTGGTGGTGCGAGACGAGACAGTGCAGAGCATAATATGTTGATTATTTACGCGTTGTCATCTACTCCCTACAGACAGTGTGTATATACACACACACGTTGTACATCCGTACAGCATGCTTCATCAAAAATTCATAATTATATCATTGCCATTTGATTAAATTTTCCTGTGATTATGCTATGCTAAAAGCATTGTTGAATTTTTAATGACCTTACCATTCACAAATGTACTTTTGGTTGCGCTCTTTCCATTCTCATAATTGGTCATATTTAGATGGGGGGAGGGGGAAGAACGAGAGCATATTGCAGAAAAAAAAGTTTCTCTCTCTTTTCCTCAATATAAATATTCTAAAAACTAGCTCACTTGCTATCTTTCCAAGCGATTACTTCCGACCAATTTTACATTGTGTTGTGCTTATTGCTTTTTTCCGACTCTTGGAGAAATTTTGTCAGACTTGTTAATGACTGTTGTACAGGTTGTTGCGAGTGGATGTGAATTTATTGAAACTGTTGATTCAATTTTTCAAGCTTTTGAAGCTGATTTTAAGTTTGAATTTTAATGATGAGCTGCTGATTCGGATTTTAAGGAAAAGATATTCTTAAGTTTCATAACTCTTCAAGGGCCATTTGAAATGAGATTCATGGATCTGCAATTCATTTTAATATTATAACCAAATTAAAAAATTCAACAAAAATGCAGCAGCATCAACAAGTTTTGAATCATCAAGTTGAATTTCCAAAAAAAAAAGAAAATATCCCAACAAATGTAGAACATATGCAACACATTACCCATCACATGCAATCACCAAACAATTTCTCAAGGCTCAGTCTGTATGATAAATATACCAGCCAGACACAATTAAGATAATATCTCACTTCCTTCAGGAAGAATACCCAAAAAAAAAAAATATTCACGAGGAATCTGACAAAATTTTTAGCATGTATGACTACTTACATTTATTACGCTCATCAAAAGAGTGTTGCTGGTCGGAAAATTGGGGAGTGCGGCATGGAAAGCTTAATTTATTCTCGCTCATTTCACTTCTCTTCTATACGAACATAATAATAATGTATAATTCTTTTTTTTCTCTTCCTTATATTCATTCTGTCATCATCACTATTCGATGCATAGGCACCTGTTGAACAATATGAAATATCTGGATAAGTCGAGAGTTGGTGTATGGGGATGGGGTTTTGGAGGTTATGTGACAACAATGATACTAGGATCCAACAAAAAAGTATTCAAGTGCGGAATTGCTGTGTCACCGATAAGTGATTGGATATATTATAGTAAGTTGAACAAAAAAAAAATTTTTTTTATACATTTTTAATATGATGTGTGATGAATATACATCCGTGTGTGTACAAACACAAGACGTTGTGTTGAATGAGGCAATGAGAATGAGTAAGGATGAGACACAAAAAGAAGAATGAATGAAAACATGATGTTGAACATGACTATGATAACATTTTAATTTAATGAACTCAACATACATACTTATACTCCTCCCATTCTCATCCGCCTGCTTTTCTGTCGTTCTTATACGTCTACATCTACTTCTATATATATACATCTCATCCGATCCTATTGTAAAACATTTTTTTTTTCTATTTCTATAGATTCAGCATTTACGGAACGTATAATGGGATTGCCAATAGAAAATTATAAAGCCTATGTCGAGGCAGATGCGACGCAAAGAGTTAGAAATATTCCAAGTGATTCGTACTTCCTTATACATGGACTTGCTGATGCAACAGCACCTTATCATCATAGTGTACAATTAGCTAAAGCCTTAACATCTGCCGGTAAAATATTCCGATATACGGTAAGTGTGACTTGTTTAATTTTATCTTTGCCTTGTTGATGTTCTGCATCAATTGAGCTTGTTTGAATTTTTTCTATTTGAAATTGGAGATGGAATGTCTTCAGGGTTGGTGACTTTCAGGTGCTGGAGGTTTAATGCAGTTTTGTTTTGTGTAACGCTTAGAACGTGCCTAGGAATTATTAAGCTAGCAAAGTGACACAAAGGAGGCACAGGAATCTGTGTGAAACATATTTGAAAACCTGACCACGTGCGACTGTATAATTGAGATTTGTGTTCAGTGAGTTATCTGCGAATATTGAGACTAACGTCACTAAGATGACCACATTTAATATGGATTGATTTCGATGGATTCGTTCTGATCTTGTAGATGTCCAGCTCAAATTATATCAGAACTGTATGATTATTTTAATGTCTGCTTAATTCATGAACTAAACTTTATGAAACCATGATAAATAAAGGAGTTGGAATTTTGTACAGATCTGTCAAAATTAGGATTCAAACCTAGATCTTCAAGAAGACTTTGGTGAAAATAATTGATTCTCTATCTTAATCACTTGGTTATCAAGTGTCTGAATGCTTCAATGTTGTTCTTGAATTTTGTACTATATAAAACGTATTTTAAGCAATCATCAACCCTGAATTCATCCATCTACCCAAATCTACGGCAATTGACTTTTTAGCACACTAATTTCTAATCCTCATGTCTCAATTCATTTATGTTTTTACTCATCCCACTCCACAGTCTTATGCTGACGAAGGACATGATTTAAGAGGCGTACAGGAACACGTTTACCGTTCAATGGAGCATTATTACCGTGATTGTCTTAGTCTAGATTCCGATGTGGAGGGACCGAATGAAGATCATGTTCCAACAGAGTAATAACGATAATGAAATCGCATATAAATAATAAAAAAAAACTTCTTTTTTGCTTAACTATTTTATTTGACACACACACATTTTCTGTTCGTTCACATTTCCGTGTCTTTTTCCTCTATTTTATTTTTACTCGATGTTGTTTTTTTTCCTATTTATTTATGTTGTGAACGTAAAATGACGCGATGAAGAAGAAGAACATAAAAAAGATAAGAAGTGGAATATTTTTGCTGACGCTAGATTATTGTCATTAATATGAGATTAACACGCAGACACACACATATGTGTGGCAAAAATAGCAAAAAATAAGGGAAATGTATAGTTAGAGTCGTTCAAAAATAAAATAAATCGAGGAAGTAAAGTAGTAAAAGTGGAAATAGAGTAATTTAGGAAACAAAACAATGTAAAGACGATTAGAGTGTAATAATACTATTAATAATTAATAATAATAGGAAGTAATAATTACAGTAGCGCGAGTGTCGGGAAGTGATAGAAAACAAAAAAAAAACTTTAGAAATTGAAAAAAAAAATGGAATTTGTTGTTTAATTTTAAATGCTTTAAAATGCAAAAAAATGAGAATAATGACTAAAATTATTTAACTTGTTACTTATACACTTACAGATACACATATTATGTAGCAATAAATTTTAAGCACGTATGTTCATACGAACTTGAGACTTTTTAATAGGTTCTATTGTATATAAATCATTAGTTCCTTAAAAATACTTGTGGAAATGCGTACGTAATCAATGCCTTATTTTTACAGCCGAAAATATTAAAACTCACATTAAAGTTTACTAGCACTGTTAATAAATTTGTTATCTTTAAGGAGTGTCTATTGGATTTTTTTTTTTGGAATGTCTTGATTTTTTTTTTTAAATAACATTATAGAAATTTGGCATAGGTCACAAAACTTTAAACTACCCTTTATTTTAAGCTAATCATTTGAATACTATCAAAATCTCACCTAGATTTTTTCGAGTATAATTAGCTAAGCATGCTAGCCATAGAAAATTTAATTAAACTAGAGTATCTTTAAGCTGGCCTTAGCTATCAAATCAAACTAAAGTAGACAAGTTATTCAGAACAAAAAAGGTTGAAGTCTATGCTCCGAAGTTTAATAGATTATTCATATAAACTAATGCTAGATTGCTAGTATAGTTGTTTATTCCGAGCTATTCAATTAAAGCGTAGGTCGCCGTAATAGAAGTCATGGAGAATTCATAAGTACATTGATCACCGAATGCCTTCGAAATGATGTCAAAATCTAGCCTTTGTGCCACTCGGGTTTCAATAAACTCTTTAAAGTGCATTTGATTTGATTATATTGTAAATCTCAAAATTTTTGAACCAGCAACAGAGTAAACTACTTATGTAGTTTGAATTTGTTAAGTAGAGAGTCTCGGAGCAAAGCTTGAGAAGCACTGATCAATAGTATACTCAATAGGTAAACTATCCAAGGATACTTTGTATCGTTGTATAAACTTTCGAATACTATTCAGTGTATTGTAGATATAATGTACTCTCCCGTGAATACCATTTTAAGTTTATTATAAAATATATTGAGGATTTATAGGAGATAAAAAAATGATAGATTTTAAGCTTGTGTTATTGAAAGAGATATCAATGCCAGAGCTCGAAGTCGACTTGAGTCAACTCGCCTCGATTTCGAGCACGGATCAAAACTGTGCTTAATACTAATCAGAATCATCCAAAAATTTCAAGACAATTTCCTCAAAAAATCATTCAAACAGACACTTTATTTTTGCTTCAAAATCTCATATTTCAGGCGCCATAGCATGAACCATATGGCCATACACGAGCTTATTGTGTTCAGTGGAAGAAATTTGCTTAAATTTTCGCTTTATTTGTTTGATTACGTACGTTATTTCATGCAAAAGGACATAAAGTATAACAATTCTGATACGTTAGTGTGATTCTAGGTACAATAAATTATGACAATTATGTTGGAGTTACGTACAAGATGTTAAGTAAGTTATGTTTTTTATAAATGGATGTACGTTTATAATGTGTGAATAATTTTTCAAGTCGATGAAAAAGCTAAGTTTTACTAGCAACTCGACTCACTAACGTCCTTCCTATAAAGTTAAAAGTTATTTTGCTTCCTATGCAATTTAAATTAAATTCTTTTTGCTAAATCCGTGAATGAAAAAAGCCATTTTCGTATGAGCAAATGTGCAAATTCTAACAAAAATAAATAATAAAAAGTCACACAACATTCACATAAAGACACAAACATGATCACATAGAATTTCTTTAAACGAATTAACAATAAATTAAGTAAGTAAAAAAAAGTGCTTCTAAAATCACTAATTATAATTGCATTTGTAACTTTTTCTTCATCTACAATCAACAAAATCAACGATTTACTCTATGATATGACTTACTATAAAAATAATAATAATATTGATAATAATGTTTTTTGCTATAAGTATGCCTATCATTCATCATTTAAAAACAATATAGTTACATCGATTATCAATCACTTTTTACAGGCCTATCAAATTTATCAAATACTTCTTCCATGACAAAAATCAACCAAAGTCAATAATCATGGATTGAATTGTAATTTATTGAATTTATATACATACATAAGAGAAGGGTGAGACCGATCGTAACTCCTGTTGATTAATTGCGAATATAAAATGAAAAGTTATACACACAAAAATTTTTGGCTTCATTATCATCATCACAACATACACAAAAAATAATATTCATCAAATTTCGACCATTCAGAATCCATTATTGTGGAGAAAAGGCAAACAAAATCAGACACAAACAGACGAAACAGCTAGACGTAGAGTACTAAAATTCATTATATTAAATAAAATTTAAAATCTTATGAGGGAGGATCTTAATGGAGTAGATTGAGAGGTGGGATCTGATACAAAATTACTTAAAAGTTGAGCAGTTCCACATTCTTGTAGTAAACTTAAAGTCTTTGAGTTTCTTAATCATTAAAATAGCTTACTTACTGAAACCATGTTCCTATGTGGAGCTAAGGTTACAACAAAAGGCTTTCCACCTGACTCTGTTGCTGGCCTTGTCACCTGGTTTGTACAGATTCTCTGTCTGCACATTAAGCTGACATTTCTTCATCACTTTTCTGCAGCAAGTAGCTTTTGGAGCTCCTGAGCGTCTCTTCCCTTGCGTTACAAAAATAGCATTTTGGTTTTTTATGGTCTTTATTGTCATTGTCTTTATAGAGCTTTTTGAAGCATCATTATTAAGAGTCATACCTTCAATAAATAGTGCTAATAGTAATTTAGTAATTTGTTAAATGGTAAAACCCTATCAGGAGCATTTTCTGATATAAATAAGTGACCCTTAGCTTTTAATAGCCAAAATTGCCAATTTTTAAATGTGGTTTTTATTTTTGGGGGATATCCCAGTTTTCTAAGAATTCTTGAATAGAATAATCCAATAAAGGATCTCGTTAGGATTAAAGAAGGTATAAAAATCTACTATATCTTGAAAAGAACCTTCCCTCCTTCAAAATATCAAACAAAAATCGATTTTTTGGCTATATATTTTCTATAATATATTTCTAGAGATACTTTTGTGAAAACTCAAGTAGCAGGAACTTTGCTAAAGTTGCAATTTGAAATCTTTAAGCTAAGGTTCAGCACGAGGTAGTGGCTCTAGTCTCAAATCGAATATTCTGTAGATGATGAAATTTCATCATTCAATGAGTTAACCTGAGATAAGCCAAATTGATAACTCTAGCTAGTAGCTTCAAGCAGAGCTATTTTGAATTTAACAGATCATGACCAATGACCTGGCCAGCATATATCCTCAAAATATCACAATCTACTACACTAAATCCTCCCTCAACCCCTTAAAATATATTCACATAATTTTTCACATATTTTTTCCCTATTTTTTTTTTCATTCCTCACAAATTCATACATATCACATTTATCGGAAAATCAACAAACCTAGATGAAAAAAAATTTAGCTGACATAATCCCATCACCTTTTCTTCCAAAAATACACACGACAATGTCAACAACAAATAAACATGAAATTCGAGAGAAAACAAAGCAAAATGAAATTCCTGTAAATATTTCAAAAATAAAAAATTGTTAAATACTAAAAATATCCATCGCGTCCACATGCTGTTTTTGCGCTCGGAAAAAAAAAGCATACAAATATTGAGCATTTGGATTTTGATGCATGTGCTTTGGGATCAGTTTTGTGTACTTTTTGTCAAATGAATTCAAATAAGAGGCAGTTCAGTTTCTAGTGATGAAATTGCTGTCGATTGCTACAAATTTTGTTTATTAAACAAAATTGGATGCGATTTTATGAGATTCTGTGGATTTTTTAATTGTTCTAGTTGGCTCTTGAGTGCAATTGTATTATTGTCACATCAATAAATTGCAGTGAGATGACTTCTGACACAAAATGAAGTCACACAAACAAAAGTAAAGCCTGAGAAAATAGTTTTCCAGAAGTTCATACCCTAAGCTCTTCTGAAGTCGGAATCTTAGGTTTAAATCATATTAAAAGTATTCCAAAGTTGTAGTCAAGCTATTCCAACCTAGTCAGAACTCAGAAATAACTTAAAATGGACTTACTTGGGACTTACTTTAGTTCAAACTCAAACTTTAAGTCAGGTAAGGCATCCATCAAAATCCAAAAGACTTCAATTCCAAAACTTAATCTTTATTTTTTTTAAATTCCATTTAGTCAAAAAATTCTTTCAAAATCTAAAAAGTTCAGTCACATGATAAATTAAACTGACAAAAATATGTAAAAAAAAACATCGAAAGCAACGGCATGGAACCTTATTAGGCAGCAATGAGTCGGCTATTTTATTTCCTTTTTATATATTGCGTTGACTCAAGATAACTTATTCTGCTTAGTTCTATTAATAACTTTTGGGTGTGAATATTTTTAAGGCTGATTATTTTAAGCGATGGATTAATGTATAATTGGAATTGGTAATGAGAAATGTCATAATTTATATTATGTGATAATTAAGTGACTTTTGTTATTTTCTTGCTGATTTTCCAGTCGGGAATGGATTTCCTGCTTTGGCAATTTACTAATTCCGGGTCATTTGTAGGCTAATTTCTTGGGAGGTTAATATGTTTTATACATTTTGTTATTATAGTGATTATATAAGTGGAAATTGCTATCTAACATCAGAATTGAGTGCTTTTTAAAAGGTTTTGATCAAGGAGTGGTCAAAGGATTACTCAAGGGTTGCATTCAATGTACAAATCAAATATTGTCATTTTTGAAAGATTAATTTTGTATTATTTTTATTTTTTTTAAAAAAAATAAAATTTTAAAGCATTCATAAGCAAGCACTCACATTATAGATCAATCACTTATCATCAACTGCAATTGTACACCCCTCGCACATCGAAAAAAGATCTCCCCTACAAGTGGCTTTGATTTAACGATGATTAATTGAATGTTCCATTTACAACGTTAATTTTTATGTCACACAAAAGCAGAGTTTAAGGAAGCTTAAATGAAGATTTTTTACTATTCTTAATTATTCACTTTAAATCCCCTCAGTGCTGTCTAAAAATAGAGTTCCAAATATCTCCAGACTTTTCCCTTCTTCTTAAAAAACACTTTTTGCGAGCTATAAATTGAGAAAAAAAAACATTAAAATTTAATATATGGCAACTAATTTAAAAATTAAGACAAAAAAAATATGAAAATATTTGAATGTACAAAATAATCAAAATTTTTTATATTATTAAAATAAAAATAGGAGAACAAAAACAAGTGTCGTATATTGTGTGAATGTTAAAACAATTAAGAAACATAAAAACAAAAAAAAAGTTGAGATAAATTTTCATTTGTAATTTAATTGGCTTCAGTAAATCAAGAATTAAGAAGAGATTAAATTTGTGCATTTCGGGAGGATTTATGGGTTAGCTTTTGTGTGAACTTGAGATATGATGCGAGTTCGGTTCCTACCAAAAAAAGGTGATAATTGTGTCAATCAGATGTTTTGAAATTAATCTCATACCAACCCCCCCCCCCCCCCCCCCCCTTCCTTCTTATTAAGTTATACATTATTGTTATTTCATGATAACGAAATGACATGGGCAACAAAAAATGTGTTTTGCAGACTGATATTAAAAATTAAAGTTCTAATTGAGATGTGGCTCAAAATAGTTTGGACAGCTTAGCCCTAGATATCCTTGGTTTATTTAAGCTGTAAGCTAGCATCAACTTTAAGATTGCAGTTTCAGGCTAGGGTATGATCGATTAAGTGAGGGGGGGGGGGGGGATTTTCAATAGTTTTTGTCTGTACATCAACCACCTCCCCTCGATCTTTTAAAACAAATCTTTGAGTCTTAATTATTAAAAGACAAACTTTTGGGGGAGGGTTAAAAGAAACCTTAGCAAAAGGATCCCTTAAAATACAAAAATAATAAATTTGAAATTTCATTGCGATTATAAGCTTAACTCATAAATGAACTAGCCAGTTATATTAATTCACATCCGAGAAATTTCTAACAAATCTTCCCCAAGAGACACAAATTAAATCTCTTTATTCAGTTTTATTTTTATTAGAGTAACAAAAAAAATGGACATTAAAATGGAAAAAAGGCTGAAACAAAAAACAAATTTAAAACCCGATAAATTGCTGACAATTTTTTGTATGCAAATTAAGTCTGATGACACAAAAAGATACAAAATCTCATCCTCAAAAGTCATCAGATACATGCAAAAATTGTTGACAGTTTTCAAATTAAAAAGTAAATAAATAAAATAATAAAAAATTCATAAATTTAAAAATGAATTCAATTAACAATCTTTGCGGTTGTGCATTAAATTAAAGTTTTGCCGTTAATAAATGTTAAATTAGTTTAAAAAAAAAATAAATTAAAAAAACGATAATGATAAACAGGGAAGGGAAAATGTTTAAGTTTTTTTCCTTGTTAAACTTTATGGAGAAAATTTAAAAAAAAAATATTAAAAAACAAAGTTTTCCTCTCTCATTTGATACATCGCAATTTTTAGCTGCTTCCAATTTTTCATAGATTTTTCAGACAAATAAACTCTTTATTGCTGATTACAAAGAATAATAATAATAAAAATAAAAAAAAATTGTTAAAATGGTTGTGAAAAAAATATAAAAATTAAATACAAAGGAATGAAAAACGATACAAAAACGAAAAAAAAGGAATTTTATGTGGTTAAGTTGAGCTTCAAATAACAAATTGAACTTTCTAATGAACTTTTAAAATTTAAAATGATTTTTTTTGAAGTTTTTGCTTCCATTTTTCGCATTTTTTTAAAACTTTCAATTTTTTGCAAGAATCTACCTGAAATTAAAGACAAAACAATACATTTCAGGAATTGAATTGAATTGCAGCCTCAAATTTGATAAAAACTATATATTATCTTTTGCATCCTTATCTTTAACTCTGCATCAATTTCGCGTCTTTTTATCCATAAATTTGCATCAGGTTCGCACCCTTTGACTTAACTTTGCATTAAATTTTGCGTCTTTTTAACTTTGCATCAATTTTGCGTCCATTTTTACATTTCACATTTTCAATTTTTAATTTTATGTAAATTTTTATGAATTTCAAAAATTTTAAAATCATTTTTTTTTTGCAAATTGTGTTCGAAACTTACAAATTTCTCTTTTAAAATCAAAAGTATGTTCAAAATTTTTACGTCTTATGGAGCTGCAATCTTGTCATTTAAAGAAAAAAGAATAAATGAGAAAAAAAAATTATTTTTCACATAAATCATGCCGTTAATAAGGAAAGCTATACACACATAAAATAAAATCAGAATTGAAAGAAATACAAGAAATTGAAAATGCTTCTAAATGTAATCTAAAATCTATTTAAAATAAAATTAATAATAATGAGGAAAAAAAGAGGAAATTTATCAATCAATTTGCCTTGTTAGACTATATTTAATAATTATACCGTTGAAATTAAAATAAAAAAGTTTTAATCAAAAAAAAAAATACGTGTAAATAATGCAATGAGAACAAAAATGGAGAAAAGTTTTAAAAATTACTGCATTTTAATCTTGACAAATGAGAAATGAAATAAAGTCTCAGTCTTCATCAATTTCATCATCAACAAAAATTAATATAATTAATCATACAAAAAAAAAATCAAATCATAATTCATATTGTCAATTTCACATCAAGAAATCATGATTTTGTGTGTGTGTGCGTGCGTGTGGCTCCGTGAAATGTGCATAACAATGTGACATTTGAAATATATTTGGGCACTAAAACATTAGAAAATAGCGTTTCAAATAAATGTCAAGTGCACATGGTACAGACTCACTTAAATACATAGACAAACATACACACACAAAACAAAATTATGAACACAAAAAGTGTCGTGTATTAATAGCGAAAAATGTTCTTCCTTAATTTTATTGTCGATCGATTAAATAACAAACAGGATTTACGTAATCAAAGCTAGAAAAAGAATTATATAGAGAGTGAAAATAGTAAATGAGGAAATAGGTGTCCTTGCGTGGAATTTTAAGGATTGTTGTTAAAGTTTAAACTTGAACTGGTTACTTACCAAGTACTTTTTGTATGGGTTATCTATCACCATAACAAGAACGCAGCTATAAGGAAATCCAAACTTTTGAATCCAAACTTATCTCTTTATGGTAAAATGTCCTTAGCCAGGGGGGGGGGGGACAAATACCCCAACGTAAACAGAAATTTTTTTATTTTGCTAGGGTTTTCATGAAAAAATCACAAAATTACAAAACAGTTTAACTCAACAGTTTGGATGATAGTAATCATATTTGAAATCGATATTCTGATCTTAAGCTGCATAAAAGGATGGTGCAAAATTCCAAATAGGAATCGAACTTGTATTCTCCACGATTTAAATATACTTTGAGCACTTAATTAAACCTTAAACATGAATTGAACTAAAGAAATCAAATCAACTCGAATAAAGCCGCAAAAAAAATCTTACAAAATTCCAACAAGGACAAATAAGCAGAAAATAAGAAGAAAAAAAAACGAAATTCAAAAGAGAATGAAAAATTTATTTCAAATAATAAGAATGAAATGTAGAGCAGGTGATTAGTAAGGTTCATTTTATTTAAAAATCTATAGGAAATAGTTGGAAAGTAGAGTGAAGGAGTGAGTAAAAGAATTAGACGGTGAATTTTTATTAGAGGGTTTGTATTCGGTAGAGAAGGACTGTGAGGTGTTAAATGTAAACCATGAATGTTGCTAATTTATAAGAATTTTTCTTTGAATCTTTCCTTAGATAGACCATCATTTCCATCCATGTTTTTTTACATTTAGTAATTTACTTAGGTTTATAGTAAGATATAAAGGTAATGAGGGATTAAATTGGAGAATCACTGGAGTGTTTATGGGAATTTTTTCGGTGATGAGGATGATTATGGTTGTGATTGGTTAAAGGTTGAATATTAAAGTCAGTAGTTAAGTCCACTTTAGATAGACTTTAAAAACCATGCAACAGTTTTTTATCATATTTAATCCAGATGTAGTTTAAGATGAGTTTAAGTCATAATTTAGTGGATCCTCGATTTGAACAGATTTTTTGTTTCAGAAAAATCTTATTAAAATCGAATTTTTTTAAATTAAATCTTAGAGTTATGTTAGATGATACTCCAACTATAGATACCGGCTAAACATACATTGGTTAAAACCATATCAAACTAGCCCAACATACTAATCAAAAATCAAATATTTCAACCATAATCTCTTCATCACCTAGAAATTGCGAGTGTAAAATAATTATGCATATTAATGCATCAACAAAACATTAAATGAACTTTCCACACCTTCACGTATTCATAATAAAGCATAGCTATAACAGCTACGGAAGTTCAACAAAACAGTGATTTTTCATTTGTTAAATAAAAAAAGAATCTTTTTTTTTTGATAAATTAAGGAAGTGAAATAAAATTTGTTATTTCTGCAACCCCCAAATTATCATTTTCGTCCGATCGAACTCGTTTTCTCTTTCATTTTTTTAAGAGGAAATCATAAATTTTATAGCCCATAATTGCATAAATGCAAGAATAAATTTTATATTAGGAAAAAATGACTCGTATAACACCAATTAAATTATTCGAAGTTAAGAGCAAAAGAGTTCAGCGAAACAAAACTAAAATAATAATAACGAAAATGTTTTTAAATGTAAAAATAATTATAAATACATGAAAAGAAACTATCATTAAAATTTAATAGTAATTAACGTTGAACAAAAACAAAAAAAAAACTATTTTCTTCCTGAAATTTTTTCTGTTTTTTCAATTCGGTTTATTCTTTAAATGTAAGATTGTGAAAAGGAAAATTCAATAAAGTAATATTTTATGGAAATAATAATTGAACAAGCTTTTTAACTTTCATTTTTGAGCTTTTCAGATTTTCAGAGGGGAAGACCAATTTCTTTTAACGGGTTTTTCAAATCTCTGAGATGATAGAATATTTTTAAAATTTGGCTTTTAACGGTTCTTAGTCACTAATACAATCATAAAATTTAACACACAATACAGTCAAGAAGTTTTTGTCAACAAATGATATTTTAATTAAATTCAATAGGAAAATGGACGAGAACCAATGCAGAACTTGCTTAGGTGAAGCAAACGATAGCCGTTATTCAGTTTTCAAGCGAATACAGGAGTCAACTATAGACGAAATGCTTGTAATCCTCACAAATGTGAAAGTAAGTAAACAGTGAAATTTCAATGTTTCTTAAATTATTAATTTCTTTATTTAAGCTGTCACCGGATGATAATTTCAGTAAAGTTTTGTGTAAGAAGTGCTTCACCGATGTAATTAATGCATATACATTTAGAAGGAAATGCCTAGACACAGAACGAACTCTAAAAGGTTTAGAAAAAAAATTACTGGAAATGCAGAATGCACAGGCAAAGATGTTTGAGTATAAAGCTGAACTTCCCGAAGAAGTGGTATACGAAGAAGAAGTTTTAAAGGACGAAATAATCGAAGATGAAAGCTCACCAATGAAAGTTGTTATATATGATTCAGCTGTGGATGCATTAGATGAAGAGGATGCCTATATAACTTATGAAATCGAAGAAGAAGACGAGACGTTAGGATATATTGAAGAGTATGAGCAAGTTGAGTACCTTGAGACTGAAACCCAATCCCAAAATGATGAAACTATGGAATATGATGAAACCAAATTGTTTAGTAGCTATCAGTGTGAAATCTGCAAGCCAAATAAAGTATTCAGTACAGAAATTGGACTAGAAAGGCATATGCATGAGGATCACAGTATCGGACAGAGTAAGTCTACAACATATTTAAATACATACATTCTTAATTTACCAACTTTCTTTGTAGATCCTTATTACTGCGAGATCTGTAATCTAGAATTTCCTATAAAGTCAACAGATAAAGAGGATTCAATACATAAGAACATAATTAAGCACAAGGGTTACCATTTAGAAGGTAAATTTCATTCATGTAAAAAGTGCTTCGAGGCATTCAAAACAATTAAACAACTTGAGAATCACGAGCGAAGTCATGGCATAAATGGAGGTGGAAGTCAATACAAATGTAAGCCTTGCGGCATTTATTTTCAATCATATTCAAAGTTGAATCTACACATGTCTGAGTCATCATGTCGAGACTTACAGGAAAAGTCGTTTAAATGCTACATCTGTAATCAAATATTTAATATGGGAATTGTAAAGAAGAAGCATATACAGGAAGAGCATCAAGATAAAGCGGGTGCCGATTGTCCTTTGTGTCTCCGTTGTAAAATACCGTCAGCTGTTGCTTTTGAGAATCATTACCGAACACATTTTGTGGAACCACGCTTTTGTTGTAGCTTTTGTGGACGTTCATTTCATGAAAGTGATCGATTACAGACGCACATTCGAAGGTCTCACGACAAAACTCCACTTATATGCTTTTGGTGTAACAAGCCATTTAGAGATAAGTCAGGCATTGCACGACACATTATGGGTGTACATTTTAATACAAGAACACATAAATGTACAATATGCTCAAAAGCATTTACAGCTAGTTACAATTTAAAGGAACACATGTTTTCGGTTCATAAAATGGCATCAAGTGTTTATAAATGCGAAATATGTCTGCAGGACTTTCTCTATAGAAAACAATATGAGCGGCATCGTGGAACGTGTATGGGTAGTGTGGTAGATAAAAGAAAACGTTAATTATGATAGTAATGATTATGTAGCACTCATTTCTGTTGAAATAATATTTTGATAATAATAAGGTATAACTAAGGTTGAATTAATAAAGATAATTCACGAATTACCTCAAGCTTAAATTTTTTTGTAGATATTTATAAATGAGAATTTTATAGGTATTGAATTTTAGAGATAAATTCACTTACTGTGTCACATATAGACGACCTCACGATTGTATTGAAGACTGAAGTTTAACATCTTTATGACTAACGTTAAATCAAGACTTATTTGCGGTTGCAAAACTTTGAAAGAGTTCAATTAGCTGTTATTGGTAATTGATTTGTATAAGGAAGATAATATGTCAGCATGTAGCTATAGTAAGCTCAGAATTTCGAATGTTCGATGCTAAGCAGAATGGAAGGCACAGAATCATAGTAAAGCATGTAAAGTTCAATTCTAATACTTGAAATAGATGCTAAATGGCTGTTTTGTACCAAAAACATCAAAAAATTGATTGAGTCTAAATCAACGGCTTTGAAATCTGCAACGGTTGCCTGTTTTACTAAGATGGATTATCAGTTCAAACAGTTCAAACAATGGAAATTTTTTTCTTTAGTATTTTTGTGACACAGGGGGGGGGGGGGGGGGGGGGGGGGGTCTAAAAATCAGGTGATGGACGTCATAAGTGAACGACCCCTAAGGATAATGCATGTACTGAAATTCTTTTTTGGGATATTCACTATGGGGCCGTTCACTTATTACGTTACGCAAAAAAACGACTTTTTTCACGACAATTAGAACGTTACATACTTCTTGACCCCCCCCCCCCCCCCCCCCCCTATGTTACATTTTGTTACAATTTTTCAAACCCCCCCTCCCCCCTAAAGTGCAAACGTAATAAGTGAACCCTATACAAGAAAAAGGTTTTTTCTCAAAATAGCCTGATTATTTTTAACCAATTGATTCTACATCAGAAAAAAATATATTAGGATTTTGCTCGCATCAAAGAAATAGAAAATCCTAAAATGAAGATTATCTAAATTAGTAAAACAGACCGTTAGATTCTAGGAAAGGGTTAGTTTTACAACAGGTCAAGAAGTCATCGCTATCAACATTGCGAGAAAAAAGTGTGGCTACACTTTAAGGATGTATAAAGCAGACATTTCTAAACAAGCATTGTTTTAGAACGTCAAAGGCAAACAAAGTGTTGGCAGATGGAAACAGAACAACTCGATAAAAAGCGTTTTTAAATATTCGATTCTTTATGAAGATAGAAAATCTAATCTACACAAAGATTATTTCTACATAAAGATTCTGTCTACATAAAGATTCGATGTAGATGTCTACAATTCTACATTCTTCTCTGATGTAGACCTAGCAAAAATGTAGAATTGTAGACATCTACATCGAATCTTTATGTAGACAGAATCTTTATGTAGAAATAATCTTTGTGTAGATTAGATTTTCTATCTTCATATAGAATCGATCTTTATGAAGAAAGTTTCTTAGCTAGACAAAAACTATTGAAGAATCTACATTCTTCATCTAGTGTAGACATCTACATTTGCAACACTGGCTAGAAGAGACACTTGTTCATACCTTTGTAGACCTGCTGAAAAATCTGCATATCCAAAAAATAAGAAAAATCACATAAACTAGAATTAAATTTTCAAATACCGATCATTTTCTAACATTTTTATTGTACTTTACTCGATCTATAATTTTTTTTAATCAATTTATTATTTTATTTTTTTTTTCTTTCACATAAATTAATTAATCATTTTTTATGCACTTTACATAAGTTTTATTCATTATTAGAAGATTCTTTTTCATCATCTTGCTGATGTTAATGTTAATTAAATTGATTTATCAGTTAACGTCTTAAACAATAAGTGAAAATTAGAGCATCATTTTGTATTTAAAAATTGTTTTTATGATCATTTGTTATTATTTTACTATGCCAAGGAGATACTGAACTTATTGTAGATTAGAAAACGAGATTTTATGGAACACGGCTTAATTATTTTTATATAAATGAGTTTGTTGCTGGTTTGTGGGAGGTTTTAGGTGCTGTTGGTTAATTTTCTTGCGTTCTTTTGGTTTTTAAAGTAACATTAAAGATACTTTAGTATCCAAAAGATAGATTACAGCATGGAATTGTGATTGCCAATTGGATACTAAAGCTCTTAGAACCAAAATATCACATTAAATTCTAAGTTTTCCGATCAACGCTTGAAAAATCTTGAATTAAATGAGACATTTTAGTACTTTACAAGAAAAGTCAAGTTTTTTGTTGGACTAGATTTCAATTTCGTACATTTTCAAGCTTTACATTCTTGTCGTTCACTATTTTTCACATTTCAAGCAGCAATTAATGAAACTTCATCACTATTGGGCATTTTTGTGATAAATTTTTCATCAAATTTGCTGTTCAGTTCCTGTTCCAGATGCCAACAATTCCATATAATTTTCAACTTATTCCACATGTGTGCGAAATAGAAACCCATTCCACACCTCCCAACCAAACCTCCATTTACAAAAAGAATCGTAACGAAAATGACATTATTTTACAATCGAATAAAGTCTCAAATTTCTTTTGTTTTTATTAGTAACGTGGGCACATTTAAAATGGCATATATTATGTGTGATTTTTTATTTATTTTCGCTATTAACTCTTTTTCATCTTTAATTTTTAATTATTTCATCAGAATTATTCAGATTTTCAAGTAACATTTTATCATTTGTTTTTTCTTCTATTAGTAGTAATATTGGGGAAGTTGGAGGTTTCAGAATTCTTTCGTTGTAGTTGTTTTAGTAGCATTCAAAACAGGATAATATGATTCTCTTTAAATTTTGTTAAAGTAGAATTCAGATGTTAAAGAAGTCGAATCAACTTTTGTTTGCAATCGAGTCTACTTGAGTTGATGTTGATTTACTAAATCCGATTAGAATTCAAGCTCTTGAATTAAGAATTAAATATGAAATCTTGTCCTGGTTTAAAAATTTTAAATTCTTCAATGTTCAAAAGCTTAGTTTTTAATGTTTGGTATGTTCTTGAACTCAATAATCCCTCTGATTATATTTTTTTGTCTGGTAATGTACTTTTGCTTAATTAGAATCTTACAGCAATCTTTAGATTTCTATCAAATATTCGATGAATTCTTAGCTAGAGTTCATTCAAAATGAATACAGATTTACTAAAATATTACATCATTATTTAACCTTGAATATTGATCCATTTACTGTAGCATAAAGCTATTCATCTACTCAGAACTTTTAACTCATATTTTTGAAATTAAAGCTTCTTAAAGCAGTTATTAATTTAAATCTGTCACTTCCGAGTTTTTTTTTTCTTGCAAAATATCCACTTTCAGTTAACAAGCTTCTGTAAAAATTTCTCAAACCTCCAAACGCCTCCCAAAAACAAATAATCTTAAAAGTTTTCATCTTATCATTCATTCGGAAACAACACTAGTTTGAATAGATTCTTCTGTTTTACTCACTTTAATTAATTATTGTTGCTGAACTTTTTATTTTTTATTTTAAGGTAATTAATTATTTACAAAATTATAAAATTTTCTTCTAAAGGGAAATTTTTTTATGATTTTTCTTTACCTTCTTCCATTTTTTATGCGCTACGCTAAGTAAGTTTAAATATTTTGCTTCTGTTCTTAATCGTTCAAAAATGTTTTAAAAGTTTTTCATTTACTTCTTTTCATTAAACTCGAATTTATGTGGAAGTTGGGTGTGAATTTCTCAGTGATGGTTGCTGTTCAAGTCTAAAACAACACAAAATAGGCAATAGCAGACATAATAATCCATACTGAACCGTCCAGCTTCCAAATAGTCTATTTATGTAAGTTTTGAGTTGGTTGCTCTGCTGTGTCTAGATTCAATAATTAGATTGTTAAATTTGCTGTATTTTAGTTCTAAAATAGTAAATCATTATGTCATCAAACTCTTCCTTTCATCTTAATTATTTATTAGCTATTAAACTTGCCATCAAGGTATGAAAATAGGTAAAATCCAAGATTCTAAGTTACTTCAACCTGGGCTAGGCGAAAAGCATATCTTTTCCAAAATGTAACTACTTTAGCTGAAGGATCTTCCTAGTTATCCTTCAGCAGCGTCTCTAAGACTACCTATAAACTACCATTTCCATAAATTCCAAAGTTTAATTCATTCGGTGAATGTTCTTTTTTTTGATTTGGTCGAGTCAAGTGGAACCAGGCTCTATTTAAGAGCCATCGCATTCATTGTGTTGCTTTGGGTTGACTGTTCTGTTGAGAATGTTAAGTTTGATTCGATTTTATGCGAATTTGTCAATTTTTTTTCTTCAACAAAATCTTTGTTGTTGTATTAAGACAAACTTAATCATTCCCACTCAATTTCCACACAATTCGAGGACAATTTTTTCATCTTTCATGTGATTAATATTTTTTTGTATTAATTATTCTATAGCATTTTTAAGTATTATTATCAAAAACTTGAATAGAAAAAGTTTAGAGGGAATTGTAAAGAACGAGAGAGAGAGAAAGTGAGAGATTTTAATTGTGCAAGTGGCAAAAGGATGTGAAAGTTATTTTATTCAAAAAGATTGAGCTTCAATTTAACAACTTTTTTTTTTCCTCTAATTTCTTTCACAAAGAGTTTTCGTGATGTGCTAAAGTAAATATCGTTGGTGTGGGTGTCGGTTATGATTTTTTTTTTTCACAAAAGGAAGTTAAATTTTTTACTGAATGGGGGTGTTGAAAAAGGCTTGATTTTTTTGTTTTCTTAATTCAATGACTTTTTTGAGTTTTATTCGTGGAATTTATCTTGATTTGTTGATTTCTTTGTTGAAAATTAGGAAGCTTTTTGTGAAGTTTTTGAAACCTTTGGTGCCTTTGTGAACATTTGATAAATTTTGTGGAGATAACACTTAGCTTAAGAGATAACAGGCCAATACCTCTGGATAAATACGTAAACCCCGATTTTTTGAATTATTTCTAAAATAAGAATAAGCGCTATTCAGAGGTATTGGATAAAAGCTATCATTGTTTGACTATATTCAAGCTATTAGCAACCTTTAATAAGTTTTTTAACGTCTGTGCTACTGGCAACTTTTGCATTTGCAGCCAATTGACAAT